AATTGGCAGCTGGTCGTGATGGCTAAAAATTCTAGACTGAATCCAGCCCCTAACTGTTAAAGACATAACAGCAGAGAGAAGACAACAGAAAACTATGACAGAACTCGCGCAAGTCATGTGCATTACTATAGGTCTGCGACAGATCAAATTAGATTTCCTGTTGACAGCCAAGCGACAATTAGGTTTGTCAACATAAAGTATAAATAGGTGAGAATATGTAATTAGGCAATTAGCAGGCTATCACGGGAGAACACAATGAACATCAATTGTATCTGGGTCACACAAATATAGAAGGTAGATAGATAGATGGATTAGTAAAGAAAAGGAAAGAAGGCGACTGCCTCTGGCTTCCAAATTTTATGTAAACTCTGGAGGACCTTAAAGTCCCGGAGCATTTCCAATAAAGGATAGCAACAGATCGAGCTGTCACTAATACAAAGCGAAAGGAAACTTAGTAACCTTGCAGGTGTATTAACGTGACACCTATTCCTGAGGGCAGAGTATGCATAGAACAGGATGAAATCCTGGAACCCTACTTTTGCGAGAGTTTAATTTTTAATCGTTTGGTTGATGGAAGATTCAGCAGACCGATATTGAAATTTTCTATAATCCAAATACACGGAATTTCATTAGATTTTATTAGATTTACTAAAAGAGAATAGTTTTTGAAATCGAATTCGAAAAATCAAAAATCTTCGCTGCCGTAATTAGATAAGTTCAATGAACTGTTTTCAGCCAAAGACTTTTTTTGATTCGCACGATCTTTAATGATGCCTTAAAGTCTCAAACTCTATAAACATTAATTTAATTAAAAAATCAAAAAAAAAATTCTCTAAAAAACGAACCGTACCTCAGTGAATTTTTTACTTCGAATTGGATAAAATTTTTGCTGCTAAGAATTCCAAAGTTTAATGAATTTGCATAAAAACACTCAAAATATCAATTATTCTATTAGTGGTAATAAATGTTTTGTATGTGTGTGTATGTGTGTGTTTGTGTGCTTTTTTCAAGCGAATGTGTAATTTATGACATTTTGCGGTGATATTTATGCGCTGCTATCCAACAACAACCAAAAATAAACAAAAAATGTTTTAATAAATTTGAACTCCTACTAAATGACCTCCAAGCTAAGGAGATCAAGTTGCGTGGGCAAAAAATGAAAATTAAATTATATAATTATTTGCGTATGAACCGTGAAAGTATAGCGCAAAAAAAAAAAGAAAAAAAAATGTAGAAGGCGAACAATTCTTTTGGTTTATTCTTTTGTGTTAGGGGATATAGAGGAAGTTTATCAGCTTTTAACGTGTGGCAGATTTTCGGCTGAGCTCCTCCCCGAATTTGTTTGTCTATCTTGATCTTTTCTCTTTCTAATCGCCTCTGAAGGGTTTTAAAAAGATGTTCTTTATTTCCATGCCGCTGGGTGAATTAAATTAGAAAATTTTATTTTCTTTCATTTTTACTGTTGCCCATACCATGTGCAGCGTCCAAGTGTTGCCCCATCTGCTGATTAATTACTTGACACGAGTGACACCACTGCGTCACCTACTTATGGACACACACTACGCTGATACAAATATCATACAAAGGGTGTTTTATTAGATATTCTCGTCTTCAAGAAGACACAAAATACATTTAATTTAATGCAATGACCAAGATTTCTGCTTTAATACACAGATATGGGCTGTCATTATGTTTTAAAAGTGATTTCGAGCAAGTGACCGTAGCAATTTTTACCATTAACGCGCTGAATATTCTCTTACAAGGCGTCAATAGTCTCGGGTTAGTCAAGCGACTTCAGAGAACTCCACAAAAACTAACCTAGCAGTGTTAAACCGTACGATATGGAAGGCCATGCCGCAGGCGCACGACGCAAAATAATGCGCCCACCTAATGGTTTCCTTTAGTAAACTGATTTTCGGTGGCTGTACGGTATGTAGCGCCGTTTTGCTGAAACCTACTGGCTACTGGCGACTTAGAATAAACTATAGTTTGTCAATATCAAATGCAGGCAAGGTCATTAACCATGACTCTATAGTGTACCCCATTAACTGCAACATTATGGTTGCGCTAAATTTTGAAGAAATATGGACCAATGATTCCCCCTCAGCCCTTATAGTACACCAAACTGTGACTTATTGAGAATTTAATGGCATCTCAAAACTGAATTATAGACTATCATCTCTCGAAATGCGACAATTGTGTTTGTAAACGTACTCGTTCAACCAGAAGTGAGCTTCAACGCTAAACAAAATATTTTTGCGGAAATCTGGATCAGTTGCCAACTGGTTTTTGGCCAATTCACCGATGGTCCTCCGCTTCAATTCTTGCACGAGTTGGATTTTTAAAGTCCGCAAACCAAGATAATTACGCCAAATCTTCCGTAAAGTGGATGGGTACCGGTCCAATTGTTGCGCGCGTTGGCAGATGGTCTCTTATGGGTCTTTTTCAATGCCCTGCTTCACAGCAGCAACAGCGTGTTCAGTGCATACTATCAAGCTTCCATGAGGATGGGCATTATCCACTAGAGTAAACAAGGTGCGAAATATTGTTGTCGAATTACCGACTCTGCTGGGCAATTATGTCGACCGAAAACTCAAAGCAGCGTGCGGTGTGTCGTGCAAACCGAAGTCTGTTCAGTATGAAAAAGCACCAACTCCGAAAAAGTATTACTACAGTGAGACCCATATGTCTAAAAAAAAAAACACCCTTTAATAGATATGTACACACATATATACATAACATTTCATGTAGATGCCTCGTTAGTAATTATGACGTAATTAAATGTACAATTGTCGTTAAGCAAAATAAATATATTCACAATTCGTGACATTTATTAGTCACATATTTCACACTTTCAAAAGGGGTGAAGGGAAAAACAGTTAAACAAACCGAATGTAAACAAAAGTTGAAAAAAAAAATAAACATTGTTTATCAATTATAGCGGTAATCTTACAAGTGAACGAATCTCAACAGCGAAGAATCGCAAAAGCATTTATGTATGTGTGTACATGTGTATTAATTTCAAGGGCTGGGCTGGTAGCTCAAGTCTTGTAAGCTCCATCACTTCAGCTATTATATCTCTTCCAATTTGTTGTTGTTGAGTGCATAAGAAAATGTAACGAGGTTTACAGTTATACAGTTGCTCAATGTACATATGTAGGTAGGTAGAAGGTTAATGCTGTATAATCTCAAGTAATAATCGTAAAAACTTGACAAAGATTTCAACCTAAAATCACACCTTTTTTGTGTGGACTTCACCTTGTCCTCAGTCTTAAATCTTAGGCGGTTTAATCTTATTATGCTCATAGGCGTGTACTGTGAGGCTCGCCAAACAGCCTTAAGATGATCAACTTCACCGGGGCCGAAATATGGTTGTCTACAGTACCGGATTCCCCTGCAATGAAATTCTTCAACCTACATGGCTATAGTGGGAGTGGGATTGATAACTAGAGCTGACCAGGAAAGCAAGTAAGACGCATTTGCAGATAAATAAAATAAGAGGCGGCGACAAACAGCCTGTTGAATGGCAGTGCAAATGGAACAACCGGGGATGATCAACCTGAAACCTCGATCGATGTCCTTTCCATGATCGTTCCATTACCAAAGTGCATGCATCAGCTTCTTTGCATAATATGGTCGGGCAAAAGCTTATCCGACGATCGGAATTAAAATGTGCTCTGCGCAACCCATAAAAGAATAAGACCCCTGGTATATTGTGTGAAAGACTAAAGACCAGAGAGCTGCAGAGCTAAATAGTGAAGGCACAATTGCTACAAGAGTTTATAACTTTTGGCGTATAGCGATGGCATTGTTATCATAGGCCTCAACAAGCGCGCCGTATATTCTGCTTTCTCCAGACTTTATTAAGAAGCGAATGATATAAGTCCTTCATCAATCCCGTCCTAGAGAATATAGTTCAGCGAATTTAAGCAAGGCCACTATGCTAGCAAGGTCATGTAGTCGGACTAGATGAAAGCACTCCTGCTTTGATATTAATCGATATAGTACTGCTGGTAAACGCAGGGGCAGAGGGAGAAATATCACGTGGAGAACTGGAAAAAGTTGGTACGAACGGTTATAATCACGTAAGCTTGACTTAGCCCCTGTCAATGAAGAAATGATATATTATATGTGCAAAGATTTTAGTTAATCCAAGTGGTCCGAAGCTATCTGAGAAAAAAAGAGAAAAACGTTATCGCTAATCCTCATTCAGATACTTTCAAATTCTAATTAATATACACAAGCATATTTTTCTGATGATTTTCTGATGAAAAATAAGCTAGTTATCTTGCCTTTCCTAATCCTTCTCTCTTCGGGCGAAAACGTCAGACCGTCAAGAGACCAGAAATAGCTTCTACTGCCTACCTATGATCTATATACTTGCGCATCTCGGTGCGACTTTCATACGATGATCAATCAACTACTCTCAAAATAAACTGTCTTACTTGAAGCTTACTGAAGCTTTGGGTCTTAAAAATAACTTTTATTGCAATCGTAAAAGAATACCTACCTCGGGGCATATCTGTCAGTTGATAGTGTCGTGTTGCATCAAAAAGGATTTGTAAAATATTTGAAGAGCACATCACAATGCAACTTTGTCGACGTCATTAAAAAGTAAATAAAAACATTCACACATCTCATCTACCTGCATGTGTAGGCATTAATATGCCACTGTGTAAACATCACTTCTAAGTATGTATGTATGTATAGACGTATGTGGCCGTATCTATTTGATCGCCTACTTAAACTCAAATGAATTAAATGGTGATAACCGAACGAGCGAACGAACCGTCAGTTACAGTTAGATAAGCCGTTATTATTTATTTTTTGTTATCTAAAAATATTTTAAAATTGCTACCGCGCGAAAATATTTTTTTTTTTATTTAAACAAATTATAATTTTTTTTTGCAAAAATGTGACTTAAATTTTATCACGCGGAATTTGCATAATCTGTTAAGATAATAATTTAACTTACATACATATACACCGTTATGTTTCAGTGCATAAATTAAATGAGTTTAAATGAATACTCGCGCATGTACTGTTAAACAAAGCGATGGCTATTCCAGACTATTTATTAGTAGACTGTTGTGAGAAAAAGTGATTGTGTGGCATTCACACGACGAAAAAATTATTAAATATTAAAAATATCAAGCCAAATGAGGGAACCAAACTAGTTGACAGCAACCAACCCCGATTTCAGCAGATAGCAGTAGTAGTAGTAGCAATTGTTGTTGAAGAGCAGCCACAACGTCAACATGGACGCCGCATGTACCAACGAACAGCCGAGCACTTCCACCGCCTCGAAGCAAGTGAAAATCAATGACTCCGCAAATAAATCCGCCACCATTAATACTGCCACCGCAACGGCGGCCAGAGAGCATGCCGCTCAAGTGGCCACGCGCACACCCACGCTTGCGCAGATCGGCAAGCAAACATCGCATAACTTTCGACTTTCGCAAATCTCCGATAGTGGCGCGGAAAGCGGTGACGAGCAGACACGTCTCATCCGTTCACCCTCGGCACGTCCGCATAAATTCATTATCATACCCAATACACCACCAACACCCACCGGCACGGCCGCAGGCAGCAACAGCAAAGAATCAACGCCGCCTTTTCGTCAGACCATCTCGACGAGCTCCTTATCCGCACTGGCTGCTGCTGTGCAGAAGACGCCTGCTTCAGGTCAGCAACCGTTACAACGCGCGCGTTCGGTGGCACGTCAGTTATCCGCTTCGGGTGCAACTTTCAACACTACATCTCCACTACCAGCAGCAGTACCAGTCCAATCACCGCCGACACTGGCCACAACAGTTAATCAACCGCTGCTCGCACCGCAAGCTGCGCTACTTCATTCGACACCCGCTAAATTATTAACACGTTCAACGCCGCAATCACAATCGGATGTAGTTCATCAGCCGTCTAATAAAACAACAAATACAAAGGCAGCTACAGCAGCAGCAACAACAACAACAATGGCAGCATTGCTTAATAATAATTCAGCTGGCGTGACATTCACAATTGAGGATTGCGAATCGGACAGCTGTGGCGGTTATGATAGCTCGGGTAGTGCTGTTGGTCTCGGTGCCGGCGGCTATGGTGTGCATAGAGCTGGGCATGAAGCAACCGCAGCAATCAGTTCAATTAAATCCGCGCCAAAACTTACGCCCGGTTTTGCAATAGCCGGCACACAAACGCCACTCTCTTCGTCAACCACAACGCTAGTTACAGCAACCACAGCGCCATCGGCCACCGCTGGGCCTCCCTTTTATCGTAGCGTTTTGTCACCAAGCGAAACGTCTCCATATCTGCAAAGTTTCTCACGCGGACGTAGTGAGCGGAGCAGCATGCGATCAGTGGTGTCAGGTGAGTAAGCGAATTGTTATTCTAGATAGAAGAAAGTATTTTAAGTGGTTAAGAAGTATATTTTACTATGGCATTACAAAAGGGGTCGAAAGTTGTCAAGCGGAGGCCCATCAAGCTTCACTCTAACTTCGAAAAAAGAAATGACTCGCTCTCCATCCTTCACGCTTGTCGTTAAATTAGAGATCGTTTAATCTGTTTGTCGTCATTAAAGATCTTGCTAACGCAGAGTGAAATTCCTAGAGCACCGAACAGTATGAACGTCTATTGGAACCGTTTTGGGAAAGCGATGTTCCCACTCAATATTTTTCTGAATACGTATTGTCGTGGGTACGAATTCTGGTATAATATTCAAAATTGTAGAAAAAATTTCTGATTAAGGTCACCCTCGGCAGGAAATGTCAACCCTAAGAGCTCGGCAGAAAATCTTTTATTACCTTTAGACCAAAGCTTTAGATATCGTGAAAGGTATGACGCCGCAATCGGCTGAAGTCCGGCCACTCATAAAGGCAGTGCCCTCGCCTTTGTAAGTTCAACACTCAGTTGATTCAATCTTACCTAGCCTTTGAGGAGGTCGAGGCCAGAGGTCGATGCCCCGTCAATACATCTTAAAGACTTAAACGACAGTATATTTAAGCTAAAGAAATTGAAAGAAGCTCGTGACGGCTTAAGCCACTAAAAAGCTTAATAAAAGGAACTCCGGTTCATAACTAAATCAAAAAGAGTCTTTTGAGACAATCCGCAAAAAAAACAGAAAGCCCATTATAATTTACTGGGTTTCAATGAGATCAAACTGTATAAACTATAATGCCACAAAGATCACCTTTCTCATTTGCTTCAAAAAAAATATGCACCTCATGCTCAACTCTCTTATTCATTCATTTCAGCTTACATACCCGGCTCCCAGGATCCACTCAGCGATGCTCTCGCTCAGTATGAAATAATGGAGCAACAACAACAACAGCAACAACATTATTTACGACCCAGCCATTCGGGTAAAGATTTAAGTGCTAGTTCCTCATTCATCTTTCGTGATCAGGTTGCGAATCAAATTTATTCGGATGTGACGTCCGTACGTTCATTAGCATCGATTGGCATCGGTTCGACGGATGGGCGTAGATTAGTGATAAGACGTGTGCCGCATACACCGCATGAACTATTCAATATGGTGCATCCACCGACCCCACCGTAAGTATGAAGATATATGTGTGTATGTTTTATAAGTAAAAATGTATGTGAGGAGCTTGAACGGTGACTGACTTTAGAAGCTCTCTACGTGCTTTTGTAAATACTTACAATTACATATATGTTTGTACACGTGCATGAGCGATAATTACCGTAATTTTCGATAATTGACAACAAAGTATATATGCAGGCATATGTATTTAAATTTACCTAAAGTAAACTTTAAGCGCAGTTGTAGATAGTCTTATTTAATATCAGTCTCACACCTTTCTCTGTCCTTGAATTAAGCTTCAGTGGTTTCTGAAAGAAACTAATTCCGACAAAGCTTCCCAAGTCCAAGTTTCGTAAATCCAATGTCCAATTGTTACTTTAAATGGGGAGTTGTGTGTATTGTATAACCGGATCCTAAGCTTAATAGGTCCCAGTTCACCTATGTTCCTGTCTTTAATTGGCGTAGTTATCACATTCGACGCCAAGCGAAATCGGGTTCCGCACCAACTGATCTTTGCTATGAAGTAAAGATTTTCCACTTCTTCGACGCCAAGAGAAACCAGTTTTCTCACCAGCTGACCTTATCTACGGAGTGTAGGCGTTTTCTCTACTCACACCAATGGAATACGGCGTCGAGCACTATGTTGAGATAAAGTTTTTCATGCTTCTACACTGTTTTTGATCGATTTGCTTGGTTTTGGGTCATCAAGAGTGTTCTTAACGTTTAAATTGCAGCTCAAAGTAAGCAAGGTTTGAGAGGGCTGTTGACTGCTATGATTTACATTGATCTTTGGATCCTTTGCAGAGCCAAATAAAGTTTTAATTTGATTTGAGGTAAGGCCGTCATCGTGTCAACACCATTTACGAATTTCAAAAGAACCTTAATATTCAATTTTGATTTTTTCATCAAGTTCTTTGATCTCTAGCGTTTTCTAGATAAAGCCAAACACCAGCAGTGGAGGTCTCACTTATGTCATTCCGCTAGCTTGTGATGCCATTAGGCTCTGGCGTGGCATTAGGCCTACAACTACAACTATCCTGCAGTCCTTGCAACACCGCTTTAAAAAAAGTGGTTCTGCTTTCATCAGCTGACATGGCATGTAATCTTGGCGGTGTTGCGTGTTAATAAGGAATTTCATCTCACCTGACTTTCCGACTTTCTTTCTTTTGACATAGTCTTTGACTACTTTCATATCTCATAAACAGGTTCGTTCACTGCACGCGTGGCGCTGTTGAAGGTTCTGTTGGCGGGTCGAACATTCATATACTAAGCATTGTCTTCTAATATAAACCTTTTTCACAGATTCCGAACTTTATGTGCTTTGTGGTATCTTTGATTCCCGTATTGAGCTATGCCCGAAGGTTCTCTGCGTAAGATCTTACTAGTAGTCCACCGCATGAAGGCAGCACAGAGTAAGATAGGCAGATCAATCTATATACACTATACAACACCAATGTAGGAGACCAGAAAATTACTCCCAACTAGTACCTTGAATTTTCTTACATGCGAAAAGGGCATTACGGGTCTTTTTCACCCTCTCTTCCACAATGAGTTTCCACAAATGATTATAGTCCTGAATTACTCTGAGCTTTTTCTAAAGCTCGCGATGATAATACACCTGCTAGTCTCTGCGACCTGACTTTTTCCCACTACGCTTTTAGCTCTCTTGAATTCACTGAACTTTTAATCCATAGTAGGATGCAGTCCAATAGACTTTTCAGTCAGAGTGGGATGGCAAATTCTACCTGCACCACTTCCAAGACTGTTCCCGATTGATGTATTGGAGACATTGTTAAATGTTCCGCTTATGTCCCGAGAGACACCCAGAGCGTATTCTTTATGCGTCAGAGATTTTTCTTTGGCTAGGGCTAGTGTGTAAAGTGCAGTCTCAATGGATCTACAACGGAGTATTAATTCATCAACCAGATATAATGGAAAAACCCTGCTGACACCGTTTCACCCCCAGTGGGAGGTCCGCAATAACTGAATGCTTATCAGTGCGTACTGTCATTTTGCCAGGATTCGATGTCCTAGTGCGACGAACATTAAAAAATTATTAAAAATTAATTTAAATAAAATAAAGTCAATCGCGTCGCCCCCAGACAGGGAATGTCAAAACCTCCGAGTGTGCATGTAAAATATTAACTCTTCATAAAAAACCTTCAGCCTTTCGGAGGTGGCTTAGCATAAACTGTACGTCCCTCCATTTGATGGAAAACAACAAAACACACAGCACAAATTGGACGAAGAGCTCGGCTGCTACAAAGCGCCAATTACTGTTTTAGGTTAGTAAATATTTCAAATAAGTTCCAAATTGTAAAAAGCTTGCAGTATTGGATCCACAGTCTTCGTAAACATAAAAGCTCGTGCATTTTTTCTTGTTTGCTTTGTACTCTTGAAGACTCACTACATTGTTATCGGTGATAAATATTTAAGATAAATATTTTTTATTGATTTAAGCCAAATCAACATACGCGTGGACCTCGCGTCGACTTATTAATGTGAGAAAGTTTGTTTATGCTATCAGAGACTAAAATTAAGCTAATGAATTTTGAATAATACATTTATGCCCAATATTTGCGATACGGCAAGCATAATTTTAACACCTCATTGAAAAGACACCTAGCAAGTGTGATGGGGTGATCTTGGTTCCATATGGCAACAAGCGCACAGCCGGAGCTTGCGCTAGCTATTTTTAGACGCAAGTTTCAAATCAATCGATTGCGAGCAGTTTTATCCGGCAGTTAAGTCAGCGTTTGACAATTTCTAGTTGTCTTCGAAGCTTACAACTTCAGTTGCTTTGAGAGAGAGAGAGAGGGGTTTTTTCTCACAGAAAAATGATCCGCTAAGGGTTGCACGTAGAACTTGCCAGTAGTGGCACATTTTACTAAAAATATTTTATTTTTGAGTAAAATGTTTCCAAATGAATTGCGCAAACTATGTTTAATGGATTTACACAGTGTGTGCTATAATTAAGCATACTTAGTAATGCAGTTTTAATACTCTACTTAATTTGCATTTAATAACATTTTATTTGAGTTAAAAATTAACAACTTAAAAATGGAGTATGAAATCACAAATAAGTATTTGTGTACACACACACACACACAAAAGCATTTAGTAGAGGTTTTTAGAATATCGACACATTTTCAAAATTACAGTCACAAAGGCTCTGGCGCCAGCAACGGACGTACGCGAACGAAATTGTAGGGTAAAACGCGTAGCGCTCGGCTGAAAAGTGTCAAAAATGGCAACAAAGGAATGAAAGCAAATAAAAAGGATCCTTGAAGAAGGAAAAGTAAAATACTAAAAGTTTAAAACGGCATAATTATTCGTGTTTTAATCCAACGCGCGATCCGAAAGCATTAATTATAGTTGAAAAAAAAAAATAAAAAATTAAAAAAATAGCCTGGCTTCCATCCACCACAAAAAATACCGCATTTCTCTTAACAACGACGTTGTGTCCACCTAATTTTACTTCATCAACGCAGTCCAGAGCAATGTCACCACGCGTCACCCATGACAACATAGAAACTGCATCGGCGAAACATTCGGAATATTCCACGTTTCGCTTTAATCGTATTGCCAAAGTGTAAGTTATTACTAAAGTTTCCATCTAAAGTCAACTCAAAAATTGAATAATTGTAAGTTTTATGGAGTCTAATTAAGTAGTACTCGTCGACTGCGGCACGTGATATATTTTTCTACTAGACAGTGGTGCTCGCTTGTACGTATGTACATTGTATTATATCATAAAATGTAAATGCATTCATTGTGATTGGTTTACCGCCCGTGGCAATGTACATACATACATACATGCATACATAGAATATTTCACCGTTCACCGCAATGTGTGAAAAACCTTAATGTTATTTGTTAAAATTCTCGATAACTGTTCGTTTGCTCAAATTATTAACATCGACTGTAAAAGGGAGCAAAATAAAAAATGTTGGTTCTTTCAATTTGCAGTATTGGATACTCGGCCGAACATACTTAAACGCGACTGAGAGAAAATTAATTTTTTTATGCAAACTTTTTCCTAAGACTAAATTTGAGTTCCTGGTATTTAGAGCAGGAACTCTAGTTAAAAAAAAAAAGCTTGGATTCGATTCGAATTCAGTTTCAATTTCCTTTTTTTTTTTTTGTTAAAAGTCCGTAGGAAACAATGGAACTGTACCCCAAAATTCACCTTAATTTATCTCTTACCTATGACAGCGCCATTATGCACTTCTTCTTCTTCTCAATTTCCGTAGCATCACTTACGCGTTTATAACCGAATCAATAATAGCGCGACAGTTATTTCTACTCTTCGACATTTCGCGCTAGTTGGAGGCAACAAATGAGGCACTTCTCCAATTGATATTTTCCACGTAGGTAGATATTTTCCCCTATCTTTGCTTTCACCAACGGGTATTGCATCGATTACTTTTATATCTGCGGACAACACGTCTTCAACAGCATATGAGCTGTCATCGTCTACGATATTTACGAACCTTCCTTCGAAAACCTCCATTGACGATTTAAAAAGTTACGTCTTTGTTCGTCAAAAAAAGGCCTATTTCTCAGTTGTTTACACAATCCAAGGCCACACCTGTTGGCGAGAGGGATTCTGCGTTGGATTTCCAGGATAACATTGTGCATATCTTGTTGCTAGTTCCTAGATGGAGGAAATTACCGAAGACTTCAAAGTTAAAATTGTCAAAAGTGAAGGGAAAGTCAAGGCGCGAATGCATGTTCCTTATCAAATCCGGACAAATAAAAGCTAACAGTTCGGTTGTTGAAGCCGATACAGCCGTTAAAAAATGGTAAATTTGTATAAAGATATCCTCTATGAATATCAATATGAATTATGATCGAACCGAGAATCTTTCAAAAAGTTACCAGGTCACTATACGAATAGATCAAAACTTGATAAGAGAACCGATATCGGGGTATTTTTAAGAGAGCTTGGTATTGGCACATCCTATCATTTAACGCATCATTTGTAGTGTTTTTCAAACGGCACTGGCGACTATACATGAGAGGATCAATTGGCTAAGTTCAATGATACTCTCAGGAAATCGCATCCATACCTTTTCGGATAGCCTGACTGCATTAAGAGCTATAGAATGACAATTAATTTAAAACAGAAGAGAATTTCCTCACATCAAGTAACGAGAAGGCTGAGCAGTTCTTTCTCAAAGTAATGTAGATGCCTGGACACAGTAATAAACCGGCCGTTCTTCAGTTGTAAGCTCACTAAATTATTAGATTAAGATTGATGATTTCAAAGGGACTAGGCTAATGTGGCCAATGTCTCTAAAAAGTAGCAGGAAACATCTGAAAGTTTAAGGCGACGCCTCGCACTTTGGGGAAGCAAGTTGAAGTCTCTAAGATCGGGATTAAGATGTTAGAATCTCAGTTGTAGCACAATGAGCCAAATAAGTGGCCCAAGTAAGCCCGTGTCCAGCAATCATTTTAAACCAGCTCTACTTTATATCTCCGATTTCACTGAACCTGTCTGGCTTTTTATTTGGCCAAGGACTGTCACTTCCAATTTTCATGTCAGAAATACCCTCGGAGGAGCTGACATTTTGTGTCGAAAGGCGACCGTAATAACAAAAATTAACTTATTTTTTTATTTTTATATTAATAGATTTTCTATAATTTTGGAAGTCGATGGGACCAGCACTCGAACCTGGCTTAACTAGATAAACATTTTTAGAATAAAATAATTTACCATTCAGAGGCCCCTGGTTGAAGAAATATCACGAACGTAGACCACAAATCAGAGGAAAGCTCGACCGAAAATTCTTTTGTGACTAAAATGTGAATTTTAAAAATTTTAAATAAGATTGAACGCTGATTTTAAATTTCGTTGACTGTGAGTTATCAAACTAGAACCAAAAAAAAATTTTATTGACCATGCAAGCGCAATGAAGCTTTGAAAATTTTCCTTCTGGTCCGCCATCAAGCTCAAAATCATTCACATTTCGCCAACGTTAAAGCTTTAAAGCTTTTACTAAGACGAATTCGAGGTTCCAAGAAAATACTGAGAAATCTTAAAAGCTTAAAAATTTTAAATCTTTTATGTTTGGAAAGAATAAAAATAAAAATTCTCTACCCGAGGGAGGAGTGCCGGAAGGTATAAAATTTGACGACGGTGTTTATGGATAATACCTTAGTAATAAAAAAAAACTATATAGTACGAAATCTTAAAAGCTCAAAAAGCTCTTATGGCTAAGAAGTAGGAAAATGTATATTTTCGAAAACAGTTAATATTTCTAAGTGATTATGGATTTTTTTTCGCTTTCGAATTCAAAAACAAAAGTTTCCATAGCTTTTTAAATAATTATCGTATTACTGGTTGTGTTAAAATCAACATGTAAGTAAGACTGGCTGCCTTATGAGCTTAATTTCAAATCAAGAAAATAATTTTAGTTCTTAGAAAAACCTACGCAAACTTCACGAGAGCGCGAGAGAGAGAGAGTAAAGTTGCTTAAGCTACACAAAAAAAACATATTTTGTGTACAAAAATCACAATCAAAACTCAAACTAATATGAGTACTAAGATCCATTTTTTTCTTATTATTTATAACAATTATGCACATATGTACATACACGTATTTACCGCAATTATTTTGTAACGTTTTTGGCTATTTTTTTTTATTTGACATAGAACTTTTTCATTGACAATAACTTGTTGTGCTTCGTTGCCTGCAGCTGAAACAATAAATATAATGTACATATATGACGACGGCATATAGTATATTGTAGTCTAATGTATATATAACGGTGTAAATTTTGAAATATGTACTTATGTGCATAGTTCATTGTTTCGAACTACATTTGGTATAAGCCAAATTAGTTTAAATTGAGGTCATTTGAGTAAATACAAACATACAAATCACTTTTCTTTTTTTTAATCTGGTTTTTAAAGTTTATGGAAAATTATAGCTTTCTAACCAATGCTTGATTACATGACCGTGAATATGAGTGCAAAGCAAATGTTGCGTCTAATTTAAATTTCCAGGTAACCGAACTAGAGCTAGAGGGCCTGCTGAGGAATTTTCCATACCTTTTTTCTTAATCGTTGAAGAGCTTTAAAAAGCTCTCTGAATAATTTGTACCCGCTCACGGACGTAAACTCTTTTTCTGCCGATTATTAACAAAAGCAGGATTTTTTTGCCCTCTTGGAGCTTTTGTCTTCCAATCGTTAAGTAGTTGATTTTCAAGTTTTGTATTTTTTCGTTGGCGGCCTCGGTATTTGAGTGGTTAGCATTGCAGGTTCATATCCTGATATTGTACTAACATCTAAAAGGTTATAAAAGATTAATTTAAATAAAAAATTAAGTTAAAAAGGTTACAAAACGCCAATTATATATATTGTATTATATATATATATATTTTAGTTCAGTCTCCTCCATCTTATCTTCTCAAAACTCCAATATTGAATCAGAATTCTATATGACCAAAGCTTTTTAATTCAGAAAAAATCTCTCACTACTCTCATCTTTCTGAGTTTCGCTTTCCCAAACAACTGCAATAGATAAAGCATATTTTTGGAAATTTTAATATCTTTTTTTTTTAATATCAAAATTTTTTATTTTTTGATCTTCAAAATATTTTTGATATTTATTTTCTTTCCATTTCAGTCTTCCCGGCGTTGATGACGACGATAATGATAGCTTTCTGGATGCCTCTGATGATGCGGCCAATTTAAAGCCACGTCAACAACATTGGGCCAACAAAATGCAGTTCGTCTTAGCCTGCATAGGATACTCAGTAGGGCTGGGCAATGTCTGGCGTTTTCCCTACATGTGTTATAAAAGTGGAGGAGGTAAGTGCAAGTTAAATGCCGGACACTAAAGTCTGCTCTATAATATAAATTAAAAGGCCTCAAGTGCACTTAGTGCATTGTGTCAAGAATAAAGATAAATATATTACGAGCTCGTTAAATGAATCAAAGTCGCTACAATGTAACTCTTATATTGTTTAATCTGAGAAATGATTGTCTATCCTAATGAAAAGTGGCGTCTATGACTAAACACTCACACGCCATATGCATAAAATCTATGAAACTGCACGTTTCGTCTCTTTGTATTAGATTTATCTTCAATGCAATTGTTTTGTCCATTCAAGAATTCAAATAACTATCATCCGCTGTCTCTTTAAGCATATTTAATTGACTAGCGTTTTAGTAATAAAAAAAAGTCTTCTACTCATAACTCACGAATGGTCATAAATATTACTTAACAAGTGTAGTTTCAATTTTTGCCACTCCTTCGGCTTATCATATGCGTAAGAAGACGAAGAAGAAGAAGAAAGACACTAGCATACAAACATAAATAATACGACTTATGTCTAAACAAATCTTGTTAAATGTTTATAAAGATTTTACTTAATGTTTTTTTCCAAAAAACTTCGCGCCAAAAAGAATTATTTTAACAAGTTTGTTTAAGATAAACTCAAACCTAAATTTGTATTTACAAAAGTATGACAGTATTTTTTATGTCATAACATTCACACCTATGAAAAAATATTTGTTAAAGGTAAATGTAAAATACATCTTCTTAATTATCGTCACTGCTCCTTACCGGATGAATCTTAAGGGATTAGAAGTGGTCAGAGGCATAGAAAATGAGAATGTTTCTTTTACAGTAAATCATTTTATTTTATAAAAGTTATATTATGGAAAGACATTTCGAGCTCCTTACGTACAGCCATCGACAAAGTTGGAAAAAAAACTCGTCCAGTGAGTATTGAAGTACGACATTGGGAAAAAAAGGCTTTCCGCTCGACCGCAACAAGCGCTGTATGAGGCAGGTAACGAGAGTTGAAGCGAGCCACATTTGCAGACAAAATAAGAAAAAAGAGCTGGCTTCGGGTATGCCGACGCCTTTATATTTTCCATGCCCTTATTTGCTTGAATTTATGTATGGTGAATACTATTGACGAAATCTTTCCGCAAAACCCATTCATTTGCAGCTACAAATGTATAATCCAAATTTCATGCTCTTACACGGATATTTACACCTCACCGGTCGTGCTTGAAATATGAAATCTGAAAAATCGATCGTATTTAGGCTATAGTACTGCGATCTGGCCAATTCCAACAAATGACAGTTGAAATGTACTACAGCATCTGTGTATTCCAAAAACTAAGGGACAAATAGGCGTACAAGCAGACGAATGGACGGGCATTACCAAATCAACTCAACTCGTTATTCCCAACACGAACGATATACATTTTGTTGGTCCGAAGTTTATATACAATGAAAAGCACAGTAAAGGTATAAAAGGAAGAGAGATCGAAATACGTGAGTATGGAGACCTTGAGAAGCTGCTCAAATATTCTGCCATAAAATGCCGCGACTCATAGAAGGTTTCAAGACCGGTGATATATATTATGTATGAAAATATATGGCGGCTGATGTCCAAATTAAGTTGAGGTTACGAAGAATACACTTTTTGCAACATGCTTAATGACAGTAAAAGTAAAATGTAAGGAGATGAATCTCCGATCCCCAACGGCTGCACAGACGTTTCATTATGAAGAATAACAAAGCGGTGTGTGGGAATAGCGTACCGGTTGAGTTATGGAGGCGAAGAACTTGCAAAGCACTTTAGCTGCTTTTCAAAATTAGGTCAGTTGAACACATGCCTGACAATTAGAACAACAACAAAAAGGAAGCCCCAAAAATCTGTCTCAGCTATCTATATTACGAGCCTTCTCAATAGCGTCTACAAAGCTTATCGAGCTTAGTGAGTGAAAGACTTAAGCCCACCGTCAACGAACTGATTGGACCTTAACACTGTGGTTTCAGTCGTAGCGAATCAACCAAAAGATCCACTCACACCATCTCTTCATCTAACTGGGAACTACTATAAACCATAAGTAACAATAAAACAGCTTCTTTAAACGGAATTAACAATACAAAAGTACGCTCTCGTTCATAATCGCCGCCCTGCTATGTGATGAAGAAGTATAGCCAGTGATGACATCGGATGAATCGACGCTAGAAGTTTTCGAAATAAATGTTTTAGAAACCCCACATATAATGGAACGTTGAGCTACACGAGATATGCAGTGACATTGACATGAGTCGTTCATATCGTCCGTATGGTTGAAAACAAAGTTTTCAACGCAGCAACCGCCTATGAAAGGATCAGCCGAAGAAGGACTTGACTTCACTTACGTCCTCTGTTTGGCGCCGAATGAAAAAGAGTAGGAATTACTAAGTTGCGCAAAAAAATAGTTTTCCAATCTCACAAGTCAAAAAAAAACATAATTTTGAGAAGAATCGCATTTATAGAGAATATCTTAAGAACTCCTCACTATCTTTCACGCCTTCAAAGAACTTCATTTACAAGTTTTGCATAAAAATGTGAAGACCTCTTTCAAGACACCTCTTCCGTTGGAACACTTAAGTCTTAAGTTAAAATATATTTTGACATTCGACAGTTTTACGAAAACCAACAGACACCCCATCCAAGATCAAGAAAATAAACTACACACATATGTGGATATGTAAATACGTGTATGTAAATACTGGCCTTAAATTCGAGCGAAAATGTGTCATGTGTAGTATAGCTTAAAGAGTTGTTTACATACCGAATAAAAACAAAATAAAAAGAAAATAATATTAAAAATAAAATACAAAAATTTAGAAAATCAACAAATAATCTAGTAGATACGGTACGAGAATGCTGTGAGAAGCTTGAAGCTCTTCATTTGCATTATCTCAGTAGAGACGTGTGTAAATACGTTTAAATGTATGTTTGTATATACTTAGGTCATATGTAATATTCCAAAGCAAAAATAAAGTAAATATACATATATCTGTATATATATATATATATATATATATATATACAAAGCTCTGAGTGACAGTTGTCGTATATGATTAAGTCGGTTCGTTTTAATATTTTGCAAAAAAAAAAATACATTACTTGGCTTATTTTTGTTGTTAGTGTTTTGAGAACGACAAAAAACGAATCAAACATCATTGCACTTTACTAGTTTTAAACTATTGGGTTGCCCAAAAAGTAATTGCGGATTTTTTAAAAGAAAGTAAATGGATTTTTAATAAAACTTAGAATGAACTTTAATCAAATATATAATTGCCATTTTGTTCGATAACCTTTTGCCATCTTCCTGGTTAATTTAGTATTACACGCTCATAGAACTTCTGGCCTTTATCTGTAAAAAACTGAACCAAGTGCGATTTTATAGCCTCATCATTGCCGAAAGTTTTACCATTTAAGCAGTTCTGTAAAGATCGAAATAAATGGTAGTCTGATGGTGCAAGGTCAGGGCTATATGGTGGATGCATCAAAAGTTCCCAGCCAAGCTCACTCAGTTTTTGGCGAGTGACCAAAGATGTGTGCGGTCTAGCGTTGTCCTGGTGGAATATGACACCTTTACGATTGACCAATTCTGGTCGCTTCTCCTTGATGGCTGTATTCAATTTGTCCAATTGTTGACAGTAAACATCCGAATTAATCGTTTGGTTCCTTGGAAGCAGCTCAAAATATACGACACCCTTCCAATCCCACCAAACAGACAGCATAACCTTCTTTTGGTGGATATCAGCCTTTGAAGTGGTTTGAGCTGGTTCACCATGCTTGGACCATGATCGTTTTCGACTAACGTTGTTGTAAACAATCCATTTTTCATCTCCAGTTATGATTCGTTTTAAAAACGGATCGAATTCATTGCGTTTAAGGTGCATATCACAAGCGTTGATTCGGTGTGTTAAATGAATTTCTTTCAATACATGTGGTACCCAAATATCAAGCTTTTTCACCAGTCCAAGACTTTTTATGTGATAATGAACGGTTGATTTTGGTATATTTAACTTCTCTCCTATCTCACGCTCAGTTACATGACGATCCAATTCGATTAATGCTTTGATTTGGTCATCATCAACTTCATTTGGCCGACCTGAACGTGGCTCATCTTTAAGTGAAAAATCTCCAGAACGGAATTTGCGAAACCAATTTTGACACTGTTTTCCTTTTAAGGCTTCATCACCATACACATCTCGTAACTTTTTAGCAACCTGCTCCGCCTTTACGGAAATAATATAGTAAAATATGACGAAAATGCTCCTATGTGGGCTCCATATTAAAATGACGCCAAACAAACAAATGTAAACAAAATTTCGCGTACTTTTTTTTTTAAAGCAAGCTAAAAGTAACAGCTGATAACTGACAGAAGAAAGAATGCAATTACAAAGTCACAAGCCGTTGAAAAAATTTGTCAACGCCGACTATATGAAAAATCTGCAATTACTTTTTGGGCAACTCAATACTTTCAAATTACTTTCCAGAGCGTTTTGTACTCATTGTCTTTATTTTTTAAGCATTTTAATGTTTCGGAAATAAAACTTGATGAGCATTTCCTAATTTATTTTTATTTGCTTAGCTTTTTTATCATTTTTTATTTAGTTAAAATTTCAGTTGTTAATGGTTTGTTGTTAACTTTTTATCTCTCTTAAGTTAATTAATTAATTAATAATTTATCAATTCAATTTTAATTTGTCGTTATTATTTTTTTTGTTTTTGCTTCCTTATCATTTTCAGGTGTGTTCTTAGTACCTTATTGCATTATCTTATTTATCTGCAGTATTCCTTTATTGTTTATGGAATTATCAATTGGTCAATATACTGGGCGTGGACCAATTGGAGCGTTAGGACAGCTATGTCCGCTCTTTAAAGGTAAGCAGAGTTCTGTATTTATTTATTTTTATTTATTTATTTATGTATTATTTTTTTTTTATAATTTTGACAAATTATTTTTTTTCCATTTAACTTTATAGGCATATGTACATACGAGGTGTGTTCAAAAAAATATCGCGAATTTTGTGTTTTTTTCAAAAATTATTTATTTATTCATAAATATCTATTTTGTCCCCTTCAAAGTAATCTCTATGAGATATACACTTGTGCCAACAGTTTTTCCGATCTCCGAAGCGCTTCAAAAAATATTTTTTTTTATCTTGTTCAGCTCCTCCTTCGATGCCGTCTTTGTATCGTCAATCGTAGCGTAACGTCGTCCTTTCATGGGCCTCTTCAGTTTAGGGAACAAGAAAAAGTCACAGGGGGCCAGATCTGGGGAATACGGTGGCTGTATCAATAGTGTGTTGTTTGTTTTTGGCTAAAAAAGTCGCGCACAGGCAACGATGTATGAGCAGGGGCGTTATCGTGGTGCAAAAGCCAATTTTTGTTCTTCCACAAATCCGGGCGTTTCTGGCGGATTGCTTCGCGCAAATTGCGCATAACTTGCAGGTAATATTCCTTATTGACCGTTCTATCCTGTGTCAAGAACTCATGATGCACCACGCCCCTGCAATTAATTTTTTCGCCTGTTGTTGAAGTGCACGGGCGCCCGGCACGCTCTTCGTTGTTCACATCTTCTCGGCCTTCTGAGAACATTTTGTACCACCGATAAACATTGCTTCGGTCCAAGGTAGCTTCTCCGTATGCCACAGTCAACATTCGGAATACATCCGCGCACTTAATTTCGTTTTTCACACAAAATTTGATATAGGTTCTTTGATTCATTTTTTTGAATAGGTAAAAATCGAAGACCATCCAAAACACGTGCAAGCAAAGCAGCTGTCAACAATTGAAGGAACATACAAAATGGCCGACCTTGTCGGCATAAATGACAGACATGAGTACCAACATAACGCCACAAAAAAATCGAAATACGATTATACGTCACACGCGAAAATTCGAAATTCGCGATATTTTTTGAACACACCTCGTATGTACATTTATTTAAAATATTTTGCTCTACTTAGCTTATCAGCATGCTATAAAGGGAGCTGCTTATATGTATGTACATATATATTTTTCTGAAACTGTCAGTATTTAATATTCTCTACCTTTAGATTATGTAGGTTAGGCAAGATTGAACTGGCTTACCCCTTGGGTCGCACGTAGACGATATTACGTGAACAGTGCTGCCAGACACACTACATATGACCAATCTGCAATACTACGTTCATTTTGTGTCACTAGTGTGAAGAATATCGCTGTTCTTTGCGCCCCTTGGCCATTGCCGATTGAAGATCCTGTAGCCTTTCTGCGCTAAGTAAGCATATCCTTTGTCTTAGGAATGCCCGACACTCATAGATAGCGTACTCATACCCTCCACACATTTCCTGCTTTTGCTTGTGCTCGATCAGACCTATATTAAAAGCATGCGCTGCCCCGCTAATAGTCCTACCAGCAGCTTTAAATCTGAGTTCTTTATTGACCGTAAAAAATTTGTAAGTTTCGCATCATAAATTTTGCACATAGTTTTCGCGAGTATGCAGCCCTTGGCTCGTTCCCAGCGTCTATTTGCCGGGCGAAGTAAGATTACTTCTTGTATTTACTCAAGGAAACTCGTGCGTGCATTTTTACGTCTAGTCCTAAAAGGACACCCTTCCTAAGAAAGTTCGTCAGCAATTTCAATGCATTCAATGCTCGTGCGACCTGGCACCCAGTAAATTTAAACTCTACTTTTTCCAGAAAGTGTTTTAATCGACCCTTCACAAAGTGCGACCACAGCCATCTTCGTGCTTTATGAAGTTAAAGCCTTTATGGCCGCCTGGCTATCTACATAAATGAATATTCTTGGCTTGGAAGAACTTGCAATGGATTGGCAGCTCAAATTACTTTTTTATCGCTAATTGGATGCAGTAAACAGAAGCCCCCATTCATTTGTTTTGAACCATCTGTGAAAATGTACAGAGCTTTACCTGCATAATTCTGACCTTTCGCCTCCATTGTAACTGACAGCAGCTTCCCAAAAGTCAGGCGTGGGATTATGCAGTCTATTCATATTCTTGGTGGAATGCTTAAAATTATAAGTAGCGCTGCGGATCCAATCTGTAATCTTGTCCATATCCTTCCGCCATATTAAAGCTCCATAGTATTGGCTTAACCATCGAAACGACGGATGGCGGAGATAGCGGGATAGAGACCCCAAGCGCAGCCTAATATCCTTCTATTATAAAGAACCGATGAGGTCTTTTTCACTGGTTGGTCTACATTAAGTCTCTACGACAACTTGCAATCCAACATAATTCAGGTACTTAGTTTTCGGTTTTATCTGTAAAGTGAACACTCTCAGCTTAAGTTTGATCTAAGCTAGAATTTTGTATTTCCTTGTGCATAGAACCAAATCTATTTTATCAGTAATAACTATAAGTCGCTAGAGATCCGAGGGTTGCCAAAAACTTACCACCTACCATGACTGATATATCGTTGTAAGCATCGCAACTCCCCCTTCCATCTGCATCTAGAGCAAAGGTGATAGCATTCCATCCTTTGCAGTTTATCTGTGCACATTCCGCGCTACGACGTCTAATCCCCATTGCCATTGAATCTTCCTGCACTAAGCAAGGTATATATTCAATCCCTGGGGGCAAGATAGACTGACATTTCATGTACATGTATCTAAGTACCAGAAGAAGAAGAGATAGGTACATTAGAATGTACACCGATCAGGTCAGAATGTCGAGCTGAGTTGCTACTGTTGAAATCGAAGGACTGTAACATATAGCTTTCATACACCGATTTTTTCAGATATCCAGTTTTTGGTTAAAAACCAGAAAAACAAGCCAATCAAAAGTTTGAAATTTTGCCATTCCACACACGTAAATATGTATAAATGAACGTTCTCACCGAAAATTATCGAAATCGGTGGACTATATTCCATAGCTCCGTTTCATTTAATCCTAAAAGGTAATATAATAAATTTGATATGGTCATGAAAGGTAAAAAGACTTCGGACTTCGCAGATCTTCCTTCTTGCTTTTATATTTTATTTTTTATTTATTTTCTCCTTTATTTCTTTTTAGTTATTTTCCTTTTTTTTATTTCTCACCATTTATTCGTTAAGCCTTTTCACACCTTGTCAAATATCGTTAGGTCTGAATACTCAGCCAATTAACACTTACTTAGAAGAATTCACAGCACAGTATTTTTCTAGTTTTTCCATTTACGAACATATTCAGTTATACTCACATATTTTTTTTGCAAACATGAGAATTAAAATCTGTATCATTTTTAAATACAAGCATTATTCAAGAGATTAAAGCCGAGTAGGCAATAGCGCGACAGTCGAGATTAGCTACACTACGGTCTTCTTCGATGATCTCAACCTAGTAGAAGTATATTCTATATATTCCATCGGCGTGTACTGAAGAAGTTTTGTTGGCCATGCGGATCGCATGACTTAACCCCTGTGGCTAGCATTGCGTACTAACATTCGGAAGGCTCGCGTTCATATCGCGGTGTCCCTAAATTCCCCTCAGCAGGGAATGTGCACCCCTCCGAGCGTATTTCGGACATGAAATAAAGCTCCTCATAAAAAACCACCAGCTGTTCGGAGGCGGCTTAGTATAAACTGCTGCCAATTCTTAATTATCCATAAGTCATTCGTGGAATCCTTCTCTCCCGAACTCCTTGATGAGTACATTATACAATTTGTTTTCTGGTCGAAGAGAGAGGACTTTTCTTCTCAATTGCCGACTCATTCCAAAGTAATATTTCTTGAAAAACGTGATTATGCTTTTGATTTCAATAATCACTTTGGCCAATTCTATTGCAGACGAAATTATATGCTCATTCAAAGTTCTGACTGCAACAGCCGTTAAGGCAGGTGTTTATACTCCTTCCTACTGTCAAAAGCAGCTTTAAAATCGACCAAGACCTTGTGTGTATTTATACCCTTTTCTTTGATTAATTGTTGACGTACCAGGTCTGTAATCAGCCTTATACGCTTCATACAATCCGTTGAATTGGCACAGCTTATATAGAGCCTTTCTTTTTGTGGATTGCGCTGAGCACAGTTATGTTCCAATCGTCGGGCAGGCTTTCAGCTGAACATATTTTTCAAAAAATCGGATACACCTTGTCAGTTCTTTGCCAATTTTTTGAAATATTTCTGCGAGTAAGTCATCGGCTCTCGCTGCTGAAATGAGTCCTCCGTTTCATCGTCATTGATTGGGGAATCGGCTTTGCCATCTCTTGATGTTTCACTTGCACTGTCATTCAAGTCTGTCGAAGTGACATCTTTTAGTCCTAAATAATTATGCATCCCTCTTGGAACCTTATCTAAGTCTGAACGTGGCTCACACTCCTTCCATACAACAGGTCAAATTTGAACGGTGATAGCCTGCTTATGATTCTTAAAAGGTTGTCTACCAATTGTTGCTCAACACTCAACACAATGCAAGTGGTCACCTAGTAGTAAGGCAAATAAATTAGCAATATAATTACTACTGGGATTCAAATGTAAAAGTTCTATAGCATATACTCGTAAGTGACTATAAACGCGTTTGTGCTGAAATTAGATCAGTGCTGTTAGTTGAACTTGTGAAATGAAAACTGCTATGCGGAAAAACAAGCAACCAATTACTTACTACCAAACTAGTGTCTGTCTGTTGGTCATGGACAAGGTTGACCATGCATTGTTGTAAAACAAAACGCTTACTTACGACAGTGAGATTGTTTTGTAATAGATGTGAGATGAATGAACAGGTGTTACGTAGAGATCAATATATGCAAACCTTTGTATGTACATACATATGTACACGTATGTATATTGGAATTTAGATATTTTCATCTATAGCTTGCAATCGAATTCGCATTTTTAATGATTTCAACTTAAAAATTGAGAAAAAAAAAATTAGAAAAAAGTCAGAAAATATATATATATATATTTTTTTTATACGGTTATCCTTTTTGTGGTTTCAAAAATACAATGCCGTATTTTGACATCTTAACTGTCCAACCGAACATTTTTTGTTTTAGTTAAAAGTGAGGCATTTAGGAAAATAGATCATACAACAACCACAAAGCGCATTAAACTTGTTAAACCTAATACAAAATGGTTTGTTGTAAAATAGGAGCTTATGGTACACATAATCATTCAAGTTGTCCAAACAATTGATAAAATTCTTTAAGAAATTTTGAAGAGATTGGATCATCGTATCATCGTCTTGCTCGTGCCACCTCAAATATCACTAATTTAAGTGAAACTTGGCCAAAGACACGATTTTTTTCCATTTCTCGCCATTCCAGAGAGCTATATTTTGCACTTGAACTTAGATTCAAATACACATAAAGTCCAAATCACACAACAACTGAAGTCAGCTGACCATTCACAATGCCGTACATACGTCGATTAGTTGCTTGAACAACAACCAATGGGCGGCAATTTATCGAACATAATTTTCTTCAACGGCGAGACACATTTTCCATCCGTGGAATACATAAATAAGCAAAATTGTCACATTTGTGGCTCCGAGAATGCTCAAATAGTTGAGAAGAGGCCGCTACAACCTATTAAACTTACTGCATGATGCGCTTTTTTGTCCGAAGGCGTCTTTGAAAATGTCAACGGCAAGACCGTAACTATCAATTTGATGTGATAACCGACTTTTTTAATCTGCCAATGAAGAACACGACTTGAACAATATGTGGTTTCAACGAGATGGTGCCACAAGCCACTCAATGTGGATAAATATGACTTCATTGCGAGAGAAGTTCTCCGTCCTAGTCAATTAGACACCGCTGAATTTTTTTTTTTTGTGGGACTATGCGAACGCTCGTATTTATGGTCTATCCTGATTTAAATCTCGAGCATATGAAAACCAATATTCGTCAGGTAAAAAGTGTTCGAAAATTACCGCAAACGGTTGGAAATTTGCGAAAATTCGCGAGGTAGTCATTTGAATGATATATGTATATTTGTCTGTAGTGTTTCACATATTGTTGCAAGGTTCAAATTTTTAAATTTTATTAAAAAATTTATTTTAAAATGCATTTTATTTTGGGCAAAATGAGTTACCCTGTATATAAAAATTAAAATGAAATATTATGCATAGCACTGTCGTAGATGTAACTTATAAATATGTATTTATAAATATCCATAAACCACAATAACCTATTTAATTATTCGAATCGCCTCTGTGCTCATTACAAATTCAAAAGTCATATAAATAATTACAATTTGTACAGTGGTTACAATTTTGATAGATTACATGTCTAGACAAGAGAATTGAAGCAAAAATGATGTACGTAAACATAATAAACACACATATTAAAACTAAGAGAGTATAAGAGTTACAATAAATATATTTAGTATGTGTGACTAGTGCTTATGAATTTAATTGTAATAAAACAATATTTCACACACCTACACGAAAATATTTATGGCTTTGTTTTAATATAAGTATTTCCACAAAAAAACAAGTAGCAAACTTTCATAATTGATTTATTACCTTTTTTTCTAAACAATTAATTGTAGTTGTGATTTCACGCTCTTGACTAAATTGAAAACTTTTCTCTACAAATCCGAGCTAATTGTGTCAGTATATGGCGCTAGAACTATTATATTATATACATAATTGTCGCTTTGTAACCGCTGAAGCGATTTTAGATCGAGCTTCAAATTACTTAAGAATACAAAAGTATACGTAGCCACATACTTATGTTTATTATATTATTATTATTATTATAAACTATTTTTCTTACTTTCAGGCGCTGGGCTCGCTAGTGTGGTTGTATCATTTCTAATGTCAACCTACTATAGTGTAATTATAGGCTATTCAATATACTACTTTTTCACATCATTTAGGCCAGATATGCCATGGATTGATTGTAATAATAGGTAATTTTAACATAAACAAAATTGTCCTTTTTATAGAAAATGACAAATCAAGGCTCAAATAAAGCTCTTTTGTAATTCAAAAAGGCATGTCTAGATATTTAATAATGATTTTTGGAAAATATTTAAATATTTCAACTTTCATATATGTATGTCTGTACTTTAGATGGAATACGCCCGATTGCTGGGTGCCTCAACGTACTAAAGATGTATTTGCGCCAAACACATCACGAACACCATCGGAGGAATTTTTCGAGTAGGTACTTGAAGTACAAGTTAAAGTTAAAATAAGGAAAAAAAAAATTTGTATTTTCTATCTCGTTTTTTTTACTTAAATTATCATTTAAGTAGCTAACTTTAAGCTTAACGAATACTTTTTAAAATACGTTTATGCATTAATTCCACAGCTGTTTTTATCATACATAAATAATTTTAATGCTTAAAATTACTACTTACAGAAATAAACTGCTTCAGATAAGTCCGGGTATCGAGTATCCGGGTGCAATGCGCTGGGAGTTGTTTGTCTGTTTAATATGTGCTTGGCTTATGGTCTACTTCGCCACATGGAAATCAATTAAATCTTCGGCGAAGGTAAATGATGAGAATACTATGCAACCTATTGGGTTGCCCAAAAAGTAATTGCGGTTTTTTCATATAGTCGGCGTTGAGAAATTTGTTCAACGGCTTGTGACTCTGTAATTGCATTCTTTCTTCTGTCAGTTATTAGCTGTTAAGTTTAGCTTGCTTTAGAAAAAAAGTGCGCGAAATTTTGTTTACATTTGTTTGTTTGGCGTCAATTTTAATATGGAGCCCACAAAGGAGCATTTTCGTCATATTTTACTTTATTATTTCCGTAAAGGAAAAAACGCGGAGCAGGTTGCTAAAAAGTTACGAGATGTGTATGGTGATGAAGCCTTAAAAGGAAGACAGTGTCAAAATTGGTTTCGCAAATTCCGTTCTGGAGATTTTTCACTTAAAGATGAGCCACGTTCAGGTCGGCCAAATGAAGTTGATGATGACCAAATCAAAGCATTAATCGAATTGGATCGTCATGTAACTGAGCGTGAGATAGGAGAGAAGTTAAATATACCAAAATCAACCGTTCATTATCACATAAAAAGTCTTGGACTGGTGAAAAAGCTTGATATTTGGGTACCACATGTATTGAAAGAAATTCATTTAACACACCGAATCAACGCTTGTGATATGCACCTTAAACGCAATGAATTCGATCCGTTTTTAAAACGAATCATAACTGGAGATGAAAAATGGATTGTTTACAACAACGTTAGTCGAAAACGATCATGGTCCAAGCATGGTGAACCAGCTCAAACCACTTCAAAGGCTGATATCCACCAAAAGAAGGTTATGCTGTCTGTTTGGTGGGATTGGAAGGGTGTCGTATATTTTGAGCTGCTTCCAAGGAACCAAACGATTAATTCGGATGTTTACTGTCAACAATTGGACAAATTGAATACAGCCATCAAGGAGAAGCGACCAGAATTGGTCAATCGTAAAGGTGTCATATTCCACCAGGACAACGCTAGACCGCACACATCTTTGGTCACTCGCCAAAAACTGAGTGAGCTTGGCTGGGAACTTTTGATGCATCCACCATATAGCCCTGACCTTGCACCATCAGACTACCATTTATTTCGATCTTTGCAGAACTCCTTAAATGGTAAAACTTTCGGCAATGATGAGGCTATAAAATCGCACTTGGTTCAGTTTTTTGCAGATAAAGGCCAGAAGTTCTATGAGCGTGGAATACTAAATTTGCCAGGAAGATGGCAAAAGGTTATCGAACAAAATGGCAATTATAGATTTGATTAAAGTTCATTCTAAGTTTTATTAAAAATGCATTTACTTTCTTTTAAAAAATCCGCAATTACTTTTTGGGCAACCCAATATAAAGAAAAATTTAAAGTAATTCAGCATAAATATGAATATAATTATAAATATTATAAGTTTTATAAATTCTAATTGTGCAAAGAAATGGCAAGGATTATTGATGAAAGCAAGTATCATAATACATACATATGTACATTCTTCCCTTTACCCCTCTAGGTACGCTACTTCACCGCCACATTCCCTTTCATACTAATCATCATACTAATGGGACGTGCAGTTACACTCGAGGGAGCCGATGAGGGTTTACGCTTTTTCTTCCGCCCAAATTGGTCCGAATTAAAGAATGCCAATGTATGGATTAATGCAGCATCGCAAAATTTCAATTCTCTCGGCATAACGTTTGGCTCGATGATCTCATTTGCTAGTTATAACAAATACAATAACAACATTGTACGCGATACAGTAGCGGTGAGCGTCGTCAATATGTTGACCAGCCTGCTGGTGGGTGTATTTGCATTTGCGACACTGGGCAATTTAGCATTGGAACAGAATACGAATGTGCGCAATGTAATTAGCGATGGACCCGGTCTGATATTTGTTGTGTATCCACAGGCGATGGCGAAGATGCCGTATGCCCAACTATGGGCGGTAATGTTTTTCTTCATGCTCCTCTGTTTGGGTCTGAACTCGCAGGTGCGTTAAATGGAACTTTAGCACAGATTTAATTATTATTGAATTATTCTCAATTTATTTTTCAGTTTGCCATTGTTGAAGTGGTTGTAACGTCGATACAAGATGGTTTTCCCAATTGGATAAAACGTCATTTAGGTTATCACGAGATAGTTGTATTATTTGTTTGCGTTATCTCATTTCTCTTTGGTCTACCGAATCTAATACAGGTGTGTTGTATTTTTAATGTTTTTAGTATAATTTATTCTATGCTATACTACATTTACAGGGCGGCATCTATTACTTCCAACTGATGGATCACTATGCTGCCTCCATTTCGATTATGTTCCTTGCATTTTGCCAACTAATTGCCGTCGCTTGGTTCTACGGCACTGGTCGGTTATCGAAGAATGTCAAACAGATGACCGGAAAAGCGCCAACATTATACATAAAGACGTGTTGGTTCCTGCTTGGTCCTTGTTTGCTATTTGTATGTCCCTATATTTCAGCAAATTAAAACATTTTTATTTCAAATTTATTTTTCCTCAATCTCTGCAGGCAATTTGGGTACTCAGTTTAATTAATTACGAGGAGCCTAGTTATCATAATGGCCGCTATAAGTATCCGGACTGGGCTTATGGCATTGGTTGGTTGTTTGCCTCATTTTCACTCATTTGTATACCTGGCTATGCTATCATAAATTTACTACGCGCTGAGGGCCGCACTTTCATGGAGGTAAAAAACCAAAAAACCAAAAAACAAAAAACCGAAGTAAATGAAAATTACACATTTGTTTTTTATTTCGTAGCGCTTAAAGAATACACTGCGACCCAACATTTACGAATGCCGCATATGCGGCGAACATCACTGTGAACACGATTTCCCAGAACAGGAACAATATATGCTTGCACAGGAGTTATCGGGCATATACAAGCCGAAGGAGCATTTGGATCCCAACACTGTCTCGATAAATCACTTAACTTTAGGCAATAAAGCAGGCTATAATCCAATGTATCTATCGCCCGAATCAGCAGAATATACATACGAGGAAAAACCGCGACAAGGAGAGGATACTCATTTGGCTCCACCATCGCCTGCAAGCACATCCACGGCCACTGGAAATAATAAATCTTAAATATAATATGCAACATGTTTTGTTTATTGCCTTCATGGTGTGCATGTACACTCGGCTCAATTAGTATTCATATGTATGTATGTATTTAGTTAGCAATTAAAACAAAATTTATTGAAAATAATTCTTTTTTTTTGCATTTTACGCAAAATTGATCCATTAGACAAGATCCTTCTATGATTGCTTTATTAGTTCATTGGTAATTGAATAAAATATGTATTTGTATGTAAATATGTATGCGAAAAACGAAAAATTCACGAAATCGTATTTTACATTATTACGCCTCATCGGCTGGGCTGGTCAAATATGACACTCACAAAATGATGGGTATTTGGGTGGTTCTGCTGAATGTTTGCGAGGAACTTACTGCACTTACCGAAGAGGCCTAAAAAGTTACGACTTGAGCTCTTTTAAATTATTTTTGTCTAAGGAAGCACCTAGACATTCCATAGTCACGACGAACTTGGACTGGGACTAACTAACCACTTCATCAATGGGAGGACAAACCACCTTGCGAAATTTCTCTTTTCTTTTTGAACACTGGTAGTAATGAGAATGTTTCAAAGTACTAGTCTCATTTTAAAGCGCCAAAAAAGTGGAACGTTGAGCGTTCGTCTAGCTAGCTTCCTTTCACCACAGGTTTAAGTTTACATTCAGTTATAAAAAAAAGCTCTCGAAGGATTATTCTTTGATAGACGTTATAAAAATAACATATTGATCTAACGATCAAGTTTTGCTTGAATCGCATTATGAAAAAAGTGCTTTGCAAATTATATTACCTTCATTCTGTGGCACAATACGATTCATTGCCGGTACATAAATATATTATATTTTTCCATCACTCTCACTTTTATATACACCACTTAAAACAAAATATAACGAAAAATTATAACTCGCCAAAAATAAAATAGTTTCTTTCGCGCTTTTTAAACCATTCAAATATTTGAATAACCACATTCATCGTAGAGCTGCCAGATGTATTTTGCGAAAAAAAGATAAAAGACTGCTACCATCTTTTTGAAATAAAATACTTAAAATTTAATTTTAAAAAGAGATTTGATAAATTTTTCAAAAAAAAAAAAAGAAATATATACTAAATTAATATCGAAACCAAAGAACGTATATTATTAATATAAATTATTAATATACGCTTTTTGGAACAACCCAGTTAGAATAAAAGGAAATCTTGAAAGTCATCACTAACAGGTTAAGGGATAAAATATTTAAGGTGGCAACTTTCCGGCATACGGTTACCAGCTGTCGAGTTGTCAACGACCCCCATACATTTTGTTGCTTGTTTACCAAAGATTTTCGCAATATATCCTGCTGTATATTTGTATAAAAATTTTGTAAAAGTTTTTTGTGTCTTAAAATTGCCAATGTTGTTGTTATTATAGTCGCTGCCACAACAAATTATAATCAATAGTACTTTAGGAAAGTATTTTTTATGTGAAAGATGTCCAGTTGGAATAATATATGTCGTGTCTGTTCCAGTCCTGCTGAATATGAGATTTTCGAGAAAATACCAGCATATCTGCATGCTAGCCTAAATGATTTTCTGCATTGGCAAAAACCAATCAATGTGCTGGTGGAGGAGACAACGGGACTTAAGGTAAATACCGTACCTTTATTTATTACAGCAAAAACTTAAATGCATGTACAAAAATAATTTACTAAGCATTTACTAAAAAAAAAATCTTCATACAGTGTTCAGAGGATGACGGTTTGCCAAAAAAAATATGTGCACTTTGCATTTCCTACCTAAAACATGCAGTATTTTTCCGTGAACAATGTATTAATAATAGTATGAGTTTAAAAGCCGCATACCTACTACACCAAAAAAGCCAAGAGCGAAAGAAAAATGTCGATAAGGATAGTGTATTAATTACAGCACAAGAATTGACATTTACTACTGAACATCAAATAGACACTAATCTTCTGAACACTAACAATACTCAAGATCAAGACAAAGTGTGTAAACAACTGCTAAATAACACTTTACAAACGACAGCACCCACACAACAAAATATCGAACAACAAATGCGCTATTTGAATTTACTTTTCAATAAGGATATCAACGCCGGTCTCCGTGATCAATCACAAAACCGAAGAAAAGACGATGCTGCATTGGATGCAAGCAATGCCGCCGGCGACCAATATGGCAAAGATGAATGTGGAACAGAAACTTCTAGCGAAAATAATGATCCGGCCGCTAATGGAAAAAATATTTTTTCTTATTCAGAAAAAAGTTTTCAAGAAGATGATATAATAAATTTGGAAGAGGTAGGGGATGCAATCAGAATTAATATACCAGAAAGCTGTAAAGAACGTAAATGTCGCGCATGTTTCCGTCGATTTATGTTTGAAGATTCGTATAATGAGCACATAAATACATGTATTGAATATAAATTTTTAACTCATATCGAAGAAATGAATAAGCTATTACAAATTCGGCGCAGTAAAGAAAGTTCGCCACACGAATTTGTGCGGCGCATGATTTTTGCCATACGGAAAACATGTGAGTGGCTAAAAGAAGCAAATTGTGCTGATATGTTATTGCCCGATTTGGTGAATAATGGAAATGGTGCGGATGATAAGAGTAAGGAAATATTAGAGGCTGAATGCAAAAGTTCCGCAGCCACATTATGCGATCAAAAACGTACAAAACTACAACTCATTGACAATGAAGAGCTTCGTAAATGCTATGAATTGCCAAAAAATGAAAATATGACTGATTTACTAATTACAAAACGTTCGGATTCATTAACTATCATAACTACGACTAAACCACCTGACTCTACCACAGAAGATAATAATTTAATTAACAAGGAAAATACAGTCCGTAGCAGAACGCCAATTACAATTAGCAATAATATTTTATACGAAATCGAAAGGTCTCAAAGTCGAACCTCCAAAACTGTGACTAATATAGAACCAGAAAAGAAACTAGTAGAGAAAAAACCTACCGCCTTAATGGGTGTTGTGGATAGCACAAACACTAAAGCAGCTATTAGTTCTAGTTTACTTAAAAGCGAAACCGATATAGAAAATGTAAGCTTTACACTCAGGGATACAGCTGAACGTTTAACATTCCTGCAAAAATTGCAACAAGCCGCCAGTCAATCTCCAAAGACTTCCAATACTATGCAAACTACTAGTGAAGCAGCTTCAATACATGTAAGAAAAGATTTAAGTGGGCCAGCAACAACAACTAACAATCAGCTGCCAACATCATCATCAACAACTACGCCAAAATCCATTCCTATAACACCATTGCATCGGAGTCTTAGTTTCAGTGCTCGTTGCAATCCATGCAATCATATTTTTGAGACACTAGCTGAACTTGAGATACATAATGCCATGTATCACAATCATATGCCATTACCGCTAAGGAAGCAAACAACTAGTGAAACACAAGAAGAAAGAGAAGCACGAGAGGCTGAACGGCAGCGTATAATAGCACTGTTTGAAAATGACGACTCCGAAGAAGATTTGGACTGATTTGCGTCGCCTAATTATATATGATATAAGACAATTTTTAATGTATACTTTTTAACTGAAGCAGTTTATTTTTTAAATAATTTCTAATTTGTAAGATCCAATTTCGAAATCAGCATGATTATTCAGTTTTTAAAATTATTTGTCATTAACATTAACAAATATCGCTTATAGCGATATGCTTGATTTTTTATGCATTTGCATATCTTTTAACTTATTTAATTACAATGTTTTGATATAATCAAATATTATTTTAAATATTTTTATAAGCGTAAATCAGCCTAAAAAGTTTTAATTTACGTATTTCCTTGTGATATAGGGTCTGTTAAAAGTTCATTATTAAATTGTAAACGGAAAATGTTTTTAATTATGTTAAAAGATTTTTCGGGAATCTTATTATAATTACATTATATACTCATATTAGTGTCACTATAAAACAAACAAATTATTGTAATTAAATTATATTGTAATTTAGTGTCTTCATAGCTTTTTTTTTTTTTTGAAATATATTTCGATCCCAAACCTCTCAGAGGTCATCAAATATTTGTATTATTTAACGTCGGGCCAGTCTTTACATTACTTATTATTTTAAAATCGCCAAAAAACATATATATTATATTTAGTTTATTTTTTTGAGAGAAAGAAAATTTTCTGAAAAAAGCGTTTGCATCAGCTTGGGCTTGTATTCAACTGATATTTAATGCTAATTTAAACTAAATACCGGTTTGAAAGAAATTATAAATTTTTTATAGCTTATTAAAATATTTGGCATAATCAAGTTCCAAAAAAAAATTTACTTAATTCCATTGTGATTATAAACAGAATGATTTCTTATTTCACTATGTGGCAACTCCTGATTATTTGCAATAATCTGACAGAAGCAAATGCATTTGATTTCTTATCACAGATTTTATTAAAAATAATTTATATACAATGCATCAGGCTTATATTATACATAAAATACTGAAACAAGGCGTGCAAATTGAATGTATTGCAGCTTATGGTAAGCAACAAATAATACAGGCTGTTCGAAGCTACAATTAGTAATGTTCTGATTCTCTTTGTTCAACACAGATAATAATGTCATACTCGGAACACGTAGTGGTCAGCTCATCATGTACTCTGTAGACGAAAGCGGTGATGTCGATATGTTAATGTTTAATAAAAACTTCAGCAAAAAGGCTATTGTACAAATGCAAGTTATACCGGCAGAACGTCTGCTCTTCGTTCTCACTGACAATGTAGTACATGTTTGCGATATCAGTCAAGTCGGTAGTAATTTCACTTTCATTCATAGTGCTATGGCCACAAAAGGTTGTACATTATTTGCCTTGGATGTGAAGGTATGGATGAATTCGTAGTAGAATTAGATGATTCATCAACTGAATAAGAGTAAATTATATATTATATTATACAAAAATTTTGTATGTAGACCACGAAGCTACCGAACGGCGAGATGACCACTGTAATTGGTGTATGCTGTGCAATAAAACGTCAACTTCAATTTTTCTATTGGAAGCAAGACAAATTAAACACATTCGAATTCACAATCGAGCTCAAGGATGTCCCGAAAGCGCTTTGTTGGGTAGACGATGCTGTTTGTATAGGTTTCAAGGATGAGTACGTCATTTATAACGTAAGATACAAAAAATGTTGATAAGAAAAAATGAACTGTTAATATATTTAAACAACAACCCGTCAGATGTTACCTACCAAGCCCGAAAAGCATGATTTAATTGTAACGTCATCATCGCACAGCATGGATCCATGTATTTGTCTTTTAAAACATAAAATGTTGGGTGTCTCTAAAGATGTGTATCTCGTTGTAATTGATCCAAATGACTATGTGAAAAAGCCTGATGACAGGCTTAAGTCACATGGAGTAATAGATGCAGCAGTTGGCAGTGTTGAAATAAAAAATAAGCCAAAACCAATGATGTACAGCAGTTCATTGCTTGATATAGGTACTTTAAACTAATATAATATTAAACATGTGTACATATGTATATAACTAATTTATTTTTTTTACTATAAGTTTGGGATGAACCTTATGTAATCGGCCGCGTTGCTAATGGTATTGAAGTACGCTGCATAGAGAGTAGCAGCATAAACAAAGACACTCTGGTGCAAACCATACCAGAATTAAATAAAACTAAGTTCTTAGTACGCTCTGGGAAAGGTACCATATTTGCAGCAGCTATGTCTGAATTGTGGTGCATACGTATGGTTGATGTACCAACACAGCGTAAGATCTTACTTCAACAGAAGAAATTTCAATTGGCTATTGGTCTAACGGTAATAAGTACAATATTATAATGTTCATATATATATTTTATGAAATAAATCTCTCCCTAGAATATTTCAGAAGAGCCAGATGATATTAAAGCCTCTACAATACGCGAAATACACATGCGTTATGCGCGTGAACTATTCGCCAACAAACAATTTAGCGATTCCATGAAGGAATTTGAAAAAGCTGTTGCAGACCCATACGATGTTATACGTCTTTTTCCAAATTTGCTGCAAGATCAAACGAACAAACCAAGTGAAATAGTCGTACCTGCGCCACCAACACCACAATTGGAGGAGAAGGATATGGAAAATGCGCTTCTGGCTTTAATCGAATTTTTAGCCTTAGCACGCCAAAAAGAAGTGGTTAAACTACGTGACACTAAAAGCACGTCCAAATCATTGCTGTCCATCATTGATACTACACTTTTGAAATGTTATCTACAGGTTAGTACACGCCTCCATGCGCACATATTACATATTTATTCATGTTTGCTTTGCAGACCAATGACTCGCTTGTTGCACCGCTGCTCCGTTTGAATCAATGCCATTTAGAAGAGTCGGAAAAGACTCTAAAGAAACATGATAAGATATCAGAGTTGATAATATTGTATCAAATGAATGGAAAACATAAGAAATCATTAGAATTACTAAAAGCACAAGCTTCCGTCGAAGGTTCCAGTCTCTTTGGCTATGATCGTACTATTAAATATTTACAACAACTGGGCAGTCCACAATTGTCATTAATATTTGAATTTTGTGATTGGGTATTAAAGGAGGCGCCTGAAGAAGGATTGCGTATTTTTACAGATAATTTTATTGAAGTCGAAAATTTACCCCGAGCCAGTGTACTCGATTTCTTACTTAGTCGGCACAAAGGCTTAGTTATACCCTACTTGGAGCATGTCATTAATGTATGGAAGGACAACAATACCTTACTGCATAATGTCTTAGCTAAACAGTATCGTGAAAAGGTGCACAACTTGCTCGAAGAGATAAAGAGGGAAGAAAGTGAAGATAAGAGGTGTGTGGTAATCTCTTTTAGCAACTCGCCTTACTTACTACAATAAGTAATACATATACCCATGAAAATTATTGGAAAAAAATATCAAAAAACCAGTTGAAAAATTGTCCATTAACCGCTGGAATTTTGGATCTACAGCGTGGAAATATATCTCATTAATTATACGAATTTTTACAAAAATATGTATTTACATAAAAATCATTGAATTTCACATGCATTTACATACATATGTACATATATTCCAAGTAATAATAATATTTTTATGTACTCTTTCCAATAGCAACGCCAAGGAAAACATTAGGAAATACCGAGAAAAACTATGCGATTTTTTAAAGAATTCCCAGAACTATTCGCCCGAGGTAGTGCTGAAAGATTTCCCAACAAATGAATTGCTTGTGGAACGTGCATTGATACTTGGTCGTCTCAAAGAGCATGAAAAAGTCTTAGCCATTTATGTACAGGTGCTCGGTGATGTGCAAAAAGCTGCGGAATATTGTGAGGCGAATTATGCTGATGATAAGGACATTTTTGCCACACTCCTAAAAACATTATTAAAACCCGTGCGAGAGCCACCTTATGAAAATGTAGAACTTCATCCAGATTTTTTGCGACCAAATGAAGATATAATATTGGAACTGTTAAATAAATATGCGGAAAAAATCGATCCATATGTAGTTGTACCGGTATACATTCTTACACCTATTCAATATTTTATATTTTGGGCTGATTTCGATTTTTTTTTAACAGTTATTGCCTGATGATATGCCTGCGCAGTCTATATGGAAATATTTAGAAACAGCGCTACGTGTTGAAATCGCTGAACACCACGAAAAAGAGATGATGATTGGACTGCTTAAAGCGGAAATTCAGCGTGTCCGGCGACAAATACGCGCGGAGGAAAGTAAATACGTTGTACTAACAGAATTCACTGTATGCCCACAATGTAAGAAACGATTCACAAATCCACCTGCTTTTGTACGTTACCCTAACGGGGAGGTGGTACATTTATCATGTCATGATAAGTACGCTCAATCTACTTCGAGTACTAGTAGTTAAATTAGTATAGTAGATATAAAGGAAAACTAATTTTACTCAATTTGTGTTCTGTGATTGTGTGTGTCTATTTTATATTCGTGTTTCGCAGGTGCTAATTACAGTAATATGAGCTTGATAAAAAGATAATTGTAATTTATTGAATAATACTTTAGTTACAGAAATTTTTTTAACATGTATACATAAGTTTATTCAGTTTCCATTTTATGCACATATATGACAGTTTTTTTACGAATACAACAGCTCACAACTTTACCTTTATTTTACTTAAAACCGGAAACTGTTATGCAAATTAAAAATTATATTAAAAAAATTTTATAAAACTTACATACATATGTATTTTACTTTTTAGCAAATTAATTATTTATAATATTTTACACTGTAAACTCGTGTTATTTTTTTTCTAAGACTTTCGTAGTAATTTCACATAATTAAAGATAGGTATTTCAAGTTGATACATTTTGATCAGCAAAGATTGTTCTACTTTTTCATGTATTAAGTGTCTTAATAGAAAAATGAGTTCCACGGATAATAAATGCTCATTAAAACTGAAAAATTTGTTTACTATTTTTTCTAACGTTGTTTCAAATAAAGGACTTTTTAACAGTGTTATTACTTCTCGAAGACCATCTGTCACGCATACTACGTAATTTGATAATATACGCACAGCATAAAGTACTCTTAAACGGCTATTAATGCTTTCAAACTCATCATATCTGCAAAGATTATAACAAACAAAACGCAACAAATTTACTCTTTGTTCGGTACTAAGATCCGAGTTGGGATTAACTATTTCACTATGGAATATAAATAACAAATAATATTCTGCTCCCGCAGTTGCTCGGTGTTTCTTGCTCATGTTCTCGTTAATGTGAAGTAAATCTTCACATCTAAGTTTTTGTTCCTTGTTTAACAGAATCAGCTGTAAACAACAAGCTGCATCTTCTGCAAAATTTTCTAGTTCATTTACAACACATTCTCCATCTACATAAATGTTCCATAACTTTGGCACTGCTCCCATTTCTATTATTCTTCTTGTGGCCTCATTGCTTGTAAAAACTATATTAGAAATTATCCAGAGGCATAGTCGTTTTATGTTTTCATTGGGGTTATCCAGATAGGTAACTAAATAGCTTCCCGCGAATTTTATTATTTTTTCACAAACAGGTGCTTCACCCAATGACAGATTGCAAAGACACTCCATGGCGGCAATTTGATTTCCGGTATCTATGCCTAAAATAGTAAAACAAACAAGTATTGAGTTAAGGGCATTAAAGGTGTAATAGTTGAATAAACGTGCCAAAAAAAACTAATTTTGGTCTCTACTGATCCACTTTTTTAAATTACTAAAGCTAAATGACTTTGACCCATTTTTTTAAATTACTAATAGAAGGAGGGCTCGGTAGTCGAGTGGTTAGCATTGCATACTGCCATTCGGAAGGCTCGGATTCAAATTCTGGTGTCGTCTAACATCCAAAGAGTTATAGAAAATTAATTTAAATAAAAATTATAATAAGTTTTTCTAATTGCGGTCACCCCTCAGCAGGGACTGCCAACGCCTTCGATTGTATTTCTGACATGAAATAAAGCTCCTCATAAAATACCATCTGCCGTAAGATGGCGGCTTAGCATAAATTGTAGGTACATCCATTTGTTGGGAAAACAATAATATGCAAAACCACTAACTAAAGAAAGCACTAATTATATACATATATATAATATAATGTAATATTGAATAATTAATAAAAAAAAAAATATTTAAAACTTAAAATTTGGAACGGAATACTAAATATTATCACAAAAATTATTGGCCTACTTGTTAATTCTTTCACAATAACCGGGAAAACACCATCTGCTCTCCCAAAGATTGCGATATTTGCTTCATTATGTTGAAATGCTTGGGCCAATTTACACAACTCATCTGTTGATGCATGCTTGCGGCGTTTTATACGTGTTATTAACGATTCCACATCAGTTCCGACGACTTTGACATTCTCAATTTCCTCGCCCAATCCAACCCTCACAGAATCACACGTTTTGGCTCGATGTTGTACACGATATTGTTGAGAGACTACTCTATTTCTTGCACGCATCCTTTCTGTTCTTGCATTAACAGCGGATCTAGACGTTGTTGCTTGTTCCGAGTCAGAATCCACCTCCATTTTTTAATTTCAAAAATTATATAAATCAAAAATATGCCTGCAATAATAATTAAATTTCAAATACCGTTACTTTATTACTATACATTTTTCCCGCTATGTAAGTGTTGTAAGATTAATCGATTGATAGCCTTTTATCGATTTATTCTTCTCGTAAATCGTGGATTGCCCAGCTGCTGAATAATTACGAAATAACATTCTACGGCTTTTCAACTTCATTGTCAAATACGTTATTCGTCTTCTCAATTACGAATGCGAATTACCCCCATCCACACGGCACGCAATTTGACAGTTTTCGGTTTCGCTTGTTTGCTTCATTTGAAAACTCATGCAAAATGAAAGATTTTGGTAGACATTTTTAAAATCTTGAATTAAATTGGTGATGTAAATGCCAGTTTTTTTTAATATTTTCTGATTATTTTCATCCTTCATTCTTTTATGATTTACATCTCCTTTTTTTGCTTTGTCAGCTAGTTTCGATAAAAATTAGGGAAGGCAAGGGTTTGGTCGAAATTCCTAGGGGAATTGAGAATGAATTACCCACTTTTAGTATAATTCGCTGGTCTGTATGTCGAATTAAATAAGCCGTCATGTTCTTGGAGTACGAATTACAATTGATAGAGCGAAACACGTAACTGTGGTGTTGTGGAAATACCGTATTATAAGTGTTGATAAGTTTTGATAATCCTCGTCAGTTGAACAAACTTTATATCCCACTGTGCATAGTATTACTGCGTATGAAAACATAAAATGACAGCAGGTAACCCTAAACGCGCAGCTGACGGTGACATAAAAAAACTTAGGACTGGAGTACTTCTCTTACAGTACAAATTTAGTAAATTCTTGAATTAAAATAAAAAAACAATGTCCTTTACTATCATGCAAAAGTTATCACTGCTTAGTTTGAAAGCAGATCAACCGTTGATAAGTAAGTCAATTATTACTTTCTTGCCAAAACAAAAGTAGACATTTTGTTTGTTCAACTTTTTAGCAACAATACGTAACGCTAGCAAAAAGACTGGAGGCAGCACACGTAATAAGAAAGGCCATCCAAGACCAAAACATCGTGGTTGGCGAGTACAAGACGGACATTGGGTTTCTCAAGGAACTCTGCTTGCCACACAATTAACAACACGATTTCATCCTGGCATGAACGTATGTTTAAATATATTTAAAGCAATGATGTGTATAAAATTGAATTCTTTGATATATAAATTTAATTTTCTATAAACAGGTTGGTTTTGGCAGAAATGGCACGTTGTATGCAATGGAGCATGGACGAGTGTATGTGACTTGTGAGCAGTTGGACCCTAATTGGGATCACACTTGGGTGCAACGAAACTACGCCGGTCGTGAAGGTCAAACTATTTATAAAAAGTTTTTTAATGTTATTCCAGAACCCCAACATCAACGCTTTCGTTTAAAAGATGAGGTATAAAACGATGATCTTGGATTTTGTTGTATTCGTATATATATAAAATAAAATGTTAAATAGTTAGTACCTTTATTATACGCATCGATATGAATTCTGTAACAATCTACATTTTTCTGTTCGGTGAGTTTATGGACAGTAACAATTGTTACTGGGAGGGCACAATTTTTACATTTCGTTGCTGGCTACTTTCACTGACAGAGTGTGGTTCTGAATGACAGACGAATCAACTCACGTCCTAATCTACTTATCGTATAGACTTCTGCGTATTACGAATGCACCGGGTAAGAATTTCCAGGATGTGGACCTGAAATTTACATGAAACTTGGTACACAGGTGACTCTTGCCGAAGTTGTGGATCAGTTTTTCTTCCTGGAAGGGGACCTTAGACTGATCTATTCAAATATTTTTATTTATGGCTCGATTTACCTAAAATTTAGTATAGTTTACATACAATATCACATGTCTATTGAATTGATGCTACTTAACATGTAGTTTTCAAGAAGATATTGTATTTATCAGGAGTAGACTTGAGGGAAAGTCTCCCAAAATCAATTATATATGGTTGCTCCACAGCATGGTCTTGACATCCATGAAGACGGAAATGCGGGAAAACTTTAGTTTAATAATATTTCCGGACTATACGCCAAGTATTTATATGCTTTAATAAATAATCTGGAGTTTTGCGGCAATTTGGTCTTTTGTGGAGTGAAGGAGTGCATGCTGTTGTGTGTAAATTCCTATATCTTTGGGTTATTTATTGTCGGAATTTTTACGTTATCAACCTTCACATCTATTCGAGGTAACTTAAGCAGTCTGGCAGTGAAGAAGTGGTACTGGTCGGTGAGATAGCAGTTCACTTTCGAACAAACGTCATCAATATCCAGGCCACATGCCAATATGGTGCGATTATCGGCTTAGAAAATTAGAGAAACTCCTTCCAGTGGAGGAGGGAGTCGGGAAATTATATGGAAATTAAACAGTAGTGGGCAGAGGGCACCTTACTGCGGAACCCCTTGCTTAATTTTCCTTAGTTTTCAGGTAGGCCATGATCCACCTCTGCAACCCCAACGGTAATGAGAATGCCTTAATGTCTGGGCCGATGGATTTGGTAGCTTTCGCCTTCCCGATGACCACCTGAACCTACTCCCTGGAGAATTCAAGTGCTGGGCTGGGGTTTAACAGTTTGTGCAGGTCGCTTTATTTTGTCTACCGATGGATGCAATGTAAATAGTCGACTAAAATAGCTCGCGCATCTTTTCAGACCTACGAGGCGCGGTCATTGAATGAAACTCACACTCGGTCATCGCTGCTCGTTGTTGTTGTAACCGCAAAATTATTCCCCAAAGTACTTTCTGGGAAATGTTGCGGGAGTGACAGTCCTCGGCCGGATAAAAATCCGGGTCGTTCCGGTATAAAGACCCGACTGTCGCGGGAACTATTGGATTTTAGTCGCCTCTTACGACAGGCATGCCCTGCATGCATGAGCCCCTAACCCGTAGGGGGTCATCGCGTCTCGTAGGGTTGTTCAATGATTTGACTGTAGCCCAGAGCTTGATTGCCCAAGAGGAGAGATTACAGGACCTTAAGTTCTAATCCTAATCTTCGAATCTCGGAGTTTAAATCCCTGAATAGAGGATTTCCGGCTGTCGCGCCTTCCTGTTAAAACCGTCGCTTCCGTCGGGAAATTAGGGTGGATTTTCGAAATCTGTGTTGTCGTTCATTGTGCAGAATGTTGAATCGTCTATCTGTTCCGCCAACTCCATTCCTCTGCGATCATTTGACAGGCTAGAATGCCAACCTTAAAGACAGCGACCCCCGTTTAGGTCAATCACTGTTCGCTCAGTTTAGCAAACTCCACACACTGGTTCGATTGGCGTGTAGGGCTCATTTGAAACCTCAGTGGTGGCACAATGGACCCGCTTGGAATCTAGTTTAGCTGTTGCCCGGTAGGTAAGTAGTAAGTAAAGAACCATGACGAGCTTAAAACATTTGATTTGCAAAATTGTGCGAAGCTTTTTTTTTTTTTGAAATTTGCAATATTTACTGAGTTGAGTAGGAACAACCTATGTAAATTGTACGACCTATTCGAAACTTTGTGAAAATTACTAAACGCCCTTTAACTATTTTGAAGCCTTAAGAAATCTAGAGCTTAATTTTTTTCTGTCCCAACGTATGATTTAGAAAAAGTTTAACGGTCTTATTTCGTTGTTAAATTAGTTGGGTTGCTAAAATTTAGTGCCACCTTACGAAAGATGAGATATTTGAATCCTGACAGATAAATTTCCAAAAGCTCTTCATCCAAATCCATCAGGCGTTCAGGGCGACTAATAAACGCAAATTAAAGGAAACCCCTGGCTTAAATCGAGAATTTTTATTCAGTTTACACTATTTTATAGTTTTTATTTCTATTTAGAAAGATAGTGACAAATATACTTCTGCCTTTGCTCGTCCTCTCTTCCGGATGCCTTTAGGCGCCTACTGGTGTTTATAGAAGAACAGAATAGCAAATGTAGGAGCAATCAAATACTCGTAATTTTCAAATTAATTTGAAACCGTTGCTGATCGGAACAAAATTGAGTGCAACCCTGTTAGCGGAAATCGAATAGCGCACTTATTTCACCATTTTATGTTGACAGCCGAAATGGACAGCCAACTTCGCTTGTTTCTTTCTTTGGAAAAGTTTCAAGATGGTGAGTGGACGTTATAGTGTGCTTGGCAGTCACAATTTTTTATTATTTTTTGCTTAGAAAGAAGTTGATTTTTAAACAAATTAAAGATTAATGAGTAAGTGGCTAATAAGCTTCTATTGTGTTATGAAAATATCGTTGTGTGAATATTTATATGAGAAGTTGTATTGGCATGCGTAAATAACCTCAAAGCAAGAAAAAAAATTGTGACAGCCATTCTAAACTTGGACGATACGTGCAGCAAAGATACACGTGTATTTGGAACTTTAGTAATTGTTGACAATGGTTTGTAATTGCAGTCGAACATCAAAAGGAAGAAGACCAGAAAGCTACGTGGTCATGTGAGCCATGGTCATGGTCGTATTGGAAAGCACCGTAAGCATCCTGGTGGTCGCGGTAATGCTGGTGGTATGCACCATCATCGTATTAATTTCGACAAATACCATCCTGGTTACTTCGGTAAAGTTGGTATGAGAAACTTCCACTTGCGTCGCCAGCACAAATTCTGCCCAACAATCAATTTGGACAAATTGTGGTCTCTGGTTGGTGCTGATAAATTTGCTGAATTGCAAAAAGAGAAAAGCAACAAAGCGCCCGTTATTGATTTGGTGCAATTCGTAAGTATTTTTGGTCAAAATAAATTGTTCCTCAATAGTTGAATTTCTATTTAACATGAAGATGCACATTAAGGCGTCGGGCGGACAGAATGCGACCGTACAATTGCTCTCACCATGTTGAGATAGCCTTTCAGATTGAATAGAAATTTATACTTTTCATGTAGCAAATTATTTGTATCGTATAGAAATTGATATTTAATTATGATGATTTCTTAATTTTAGGGTTACTACAAGTTGTTGGGCCGTGGACATTTGCCTAAACAGCCCGTCATTGTTAAGGCCAAATATTTCTCAAAGAAAGCGGAAGACAAAATTAAACAAGCCGGTGGTGTCTGCTTATTGAGAGCTTAATTTTAAGGTAAATGTTTCTAATAATTTATAAATTGTTTTAATTTATGGCATACAGTGACGATTTAGCTAATAAGTCAGACTTTTGCTGAATGATTTTTGTTCTACCATAACTGAACTGAGTTTATAAAATCAAAACTATCATATTGTTTTCCCAATTATTGAAAAAAAAATAACGAAGTTTCTTTTCATTTTAGGTCCTGTTTCCATTTAACATCAAACATGAATGGGTTTTATAATAAAGATAAAATAGAAAAAAAATAAGAAATTTTGTGTTGCTATATTTGAATACTTGGGTGGTTGTATCCATTTCTTTACACTTGTGAAGTTTTTTTAAAGCCTTTGGACTATATAAAGTAATGTAAGAATCAGAAGGCACAACAAAACACTAAATTGTCTTAGTGCTAATTTTGAAATCATGGGTTAGTAGTTTTGAGGTCCTAAATGTAAATAATCTTGTTTCGTTAGGATTATATTACAGTTTGATGACAAGGTGTCTCAAATGAAATGCTCTTTGCAAACATCAAATTTAGACGTTTTTGATTTCATTCCAGTTGTAAGATAAAAATGATTTTTAGATTTATCATTGTCTATGCAGCGGTCCCTTCAGCGGAAAGTGTAGCTGTATATTATTCGAGTTTTCACGGATGCTAATCCTAGCTGCGCATGCATCAAAAATTAGGAAGTTTTCTTTCGAAAAACGGTCGCCCTTTGGCAAGGAATTTCAACATTTCCTTTGTGTTTCTGACCTTGTACAGTCTACTTCGATTTCTGATGTGAAATGAGAGATCTTACAAATAAGTATAAACCTGTTAAGAATGGATTAAAACCACAGGCTGTTGTAGATGCACACCATAAAATGGAGGAAACCCCCTTCAGCTGGCAAAATGTACTAATAGCAAATATTGTATTTATTGTTTTTTCTATAATATTTCTTGTTTAGTTAATAAATTTTGCAGCAAAAATAAAATCTACGTTTTGTGGATGCCATTAGCAAATTCTTAGTTCCACAATTATGTTTCCGCTCTGGTAGCACCATGCAATTGGCAGAACAAAACGGAATCCAAAAAGTTTTCAACAGCTCAGAGATTTTCACTTTCTGGTGTATTTAATTTCCATCGGCAATTTGCGCTTTATAGCTGCTCAAGGGCAAAAATCATATCAAAATACTAAAAGTGGTAACAATCAGTATCCAAGGAGGATGAAAATCGTTTTTGTTAAGGAATAAAAGGCGTAAAATAGTTGGAAGAGTCAACGACGGGTACCGTCTGTATGTAAGTGTTTTGCAGAAGTCGCTAAATGCAGCGCAGCGCAGCGTAGTGTGGAGCTCTAGTGAAAAGAGGTAGAAAATTTGTCCGCTGCGATTGTGGGGGGCAACGGTGGATGAGTATACATCGACAGCAACAGCAGTCGCCGCCGCCATAGAAGAAGAGGCAGCAGAGGCACGGTGCTGTGACAAAATTGCGTCCGAAAATGCGAAAGTGAAGAAAAAGTGAAATTCCGAAATTGGAATTAATAGCGACGACAGACAACGACAACGACGAAAAGAGATCGTGGAAGGATGATAGCGTGAACTGGGGGAGAAAAAGTGACATAGAGTAGGAGTCAAAAAGATAATTGCAGAAAATGAAAAAAATCATTGTGAAACGAAAGACGAATGGAAAACCATTGTTGAAATTACAATTCGAAAACGCCAATTAACACTTCGCTTTTCTTAAAAGCAGATTTTTTTTTTGCCGCGCAGAATTAAGCGAACAAGAATTGAAGTAAAAAGGGGAGAACAAATACAATTGTAGGTGCTATCTTATATTGTTGCGCGTTTGCTTACCAAATCTGCCCTTGCCTCGCCTACGTCAAAATATTGTGTGAGCGTACAAATACTACTAACTGTGCTTTCGTGCTTTATTAATATTGTAAAAACAAAAAACAAAAAAAAAAAACATTTTCATCGCATTGCTTGCAGCGCTCTTACTTTGATGAAATTATGCTGAAATCGTCTTCTAATGCACAGGAACTGCGGCTGTCCCGACCAGAGACCACAGTACCAACATCGACAATCACATCAGCAGCTGGAGTTATGGATACATTGAAACCATCATTTATACCAAGTTTAGCAATGGATGGCGGGGTTATCACATCACCGATCTATTGTCCGATGTGCGGGCAACATTTTGATAGACCTCAACATGCGCAAGAACATATGCAATTATGCCATCCCATGATAAGTGGTGGAGGTGGTGGTGGCGTTATTGGTGGCGCCGGTGCAGGTGTAGGTGGTCTGTTACTAGGCGGTGTGCCGCAACCTAATGTACCAGTCAGTGATCCTATGAAAATCGAGTATCCCTGTATGAGTTGTGAAGAGAAATTTGGCTCCGCGCAAGATCTTGATGAACACCATCGTATCATACATCAATCGGCGGCGTTCTTGGCGCGTTGTATGGCCTGCGGTATTTATGGCATTTCGTCTGTAACGCTGCACGAAGGTGATGAATTTAAATGTATGCACTGTGGTTCTGTATGTACTGCCTCGAATATGACTGCGGCTCAACAGCCACCTTATATGGATCAGCCTGAGCCGCCGCAAACACCAGAGGAAATGCCCTCGATACCACCTGAAGAGATGAACACTATACCACCAGAGGAGTTGAACTCCAGACAAAATCAACAACATCAGCGACAACAACAGCAACAGAGACAACAACAACAACAGCAGCAGCAACAACAACAACAGCATCATCAGCGACAACAGCAACAACAGCAACAACAACCGGATTTGTTGGAACGTCAACGCCAACCGCAGCCTGATTTACTAGAGCAGCAGCAGCAGCAGCAGCAACAGGCTCAACAGCAACAAGCACTATCGAATCAACAGCAGCAACAGCAACAACAGCAACAGCAACAACAAACTCAATTAAAAGTACCGCCGTTAACCGTAAAACTGAACAAAGGCAGCAATGGCAGCACTGAGGGTCATCCACATGTGATAATCAAGGAGGAACCGCTCGGCATCAGCGATGGAAACGGTGACATAGAGCAGGCATCAGTACCGGTGTATACAATTCAGCAACCAGTTGGCGCTACCAGCGTAGTAGTTAGTACCTCAACAGCTACAGGTGGAACTAATGCCACCGGCACAACGGCACCGGCAGGTACAGGCGGTGCCACAGCTACAACAGCTGCAGCGAATAAAGTACGCCACAAATGTCCAGAATGCCCGAAGACCTTCAAAACTCCCGGCACATTGGCAATGCATCGCAAGATACATACAGGCGAAGCAGAGTAATCATTGCACATTCATATTATTTTTTTTTTATTGTAGATGTTTGATTTTGTTTTATGTACACTTGTATATACACACAAGAAAAGTTTTGTGCGACTGTTCCCAATATCAATTCTTATTATTTTTTGTTGTATAATTTTAATTAGTCAAATTAAAGTTTCGTACTTGACTTTCTGTGTATGTGTGTGCCTTAAATGTTTTATTAACTATTAATCTCTATATTTTTGTGTGTTAAAAAACTGTGCAACAAATTTATTAACTAATTTTTATTCTGTTTTCTATCTGTTAAACCACAAAACAAACTTCGTTTGCGCCCGTACAGCGTCACGCCCAAAGAACGCCCATACACGTGCTCCTACTGCGGCAAGTCATTCACCCAATCGAACACCCTCAAACAGCACACGCGTATTCATACAGGTGAGAAACCCTTTAGATGTGGATATTGTGGCAGGCAATTCACTGTAAAGGACTACCTGAACAAACATTTAACAACTCACACGGGTGAGAGAATATAGTATATTTTGCAAAAATCAATCAATCTATCAACCAATCAGTCAGTCAATCAATCAATCAATCAGCTCAACTCAGTTCAATTCAATCAATCAGTCAAATCCACTCAAACCACAATACCAATTATATAAATCATAATACAAAAAAATGAATGCAGTTTCACTCAATATGAAATTGATATTAAACGGTTTTTGACATTATGAAATATTTTAATTTCATTTTGACTTCAAAAATTCTTATAATTTCTTTTTTTTAAAAAAAAATGCTAAGCTGCCTCAAAATAATTACATACATATTTTCATTAGATTTCAGAAAATATAATGCAAAGTACTTAAAATGTTTGTGAGTATTTTTAAACTTGCCTTCATTTCTTCTTTTACAATGAAATATTATGCATTTTTTGTAATAGATACATATAACTTTTCATTTTAGAAAGCTTATTTTTGTTTTTACAAATGAAATTGTGCATAAAGTCAAAAAATCTTTTTATGTCAGTTAATATTTTTGAATAAAAATGTTGAGTGAAACTATTTTCTTTTTTGTATCATGACATAAATCAACAACCACAAAATCAATCAAAAACAATTCAAAACTACTCTCAGCTCAGCTAAATGCAGTGTTTTTTTCGAATACGTTTTTTAAGCTACAAAAAAGAAGAAATTTTTATGAAAATTTATGCTAAAATTCAAAAATTATTAAATTATTAAATTTTTTTTGTCCTTATTTTGAATGCGATTAATTTTCATTTCTGTATTCTAAAATGCTATTGTAAATTACATTTATTATTGCGCGCACGTACATGACAAACAATAAAATTTAACACATTGTTTGCTCCTTAAGTCAAAGAATAAGGATTAAATTAAGATCAAAGACGAAAATGTGCTCTTGTGATGGTCAATAGAATAGCTTAAGTATAGAGCGAGTAGGGCGAAAAAGTTCAATGTCAAGTGGAGCACTACGATTATTTTCCATTGCACATAAACTTTTTTTGTTTTGAGAAAAAACTAATTTTTAAATAGTTAAGCTATTAATTTTATATTGGTCAAAGCGAGATTAAGGATATAATTTTTTAATGCTCAAACTTTTATTTACGCAAATATTTTTTTTCACTTTGTTATAAAATTATACGTTTAACTTGCGTTAATTCGAATGTCTTCAAAACGTCTGTGAGAGTATTTTTTCCATTGAGAAAAGAAGTGTTTCAATATTTTTGGAGATATTTTTCACAAGTTTCCTGTAAAGAAAACTTCAAAGTCACGTTAAAATAATAATAATAATAATAATAATAAATGTGTACTCCAAACGCACAAATACAGCTAAATATAAACATAACTTTTTTATTTTTATTGTTATAAAATAATTTTTATTTGAAAAAAAAATGCTTTGAAAAAGCTTCCATTGTCCATCATAGCCGCCACCGCTTGAGATCGTATTTAATCAACCGCAAAAGCGAAAAATTTTAAGCACATGCTAATTAAAAAATTATAAATGTTTACATATAAAAAATATATTTTATCTTCTGTCCGCCTATTGCAGCCACTAAGCCACCACCCACATCACAACAATATCGCATTTCCCTCCATCTCATCAATTTGTATTGTATTGTAGTATTTTTAATGTATGATTACAAAAAAAAAAAGAAAACATTTTGTTGAGATTTTTATTATGAAATTTTCTGCTAACGCCACAGCCTAATTGTTGATTTGTTGAACTATCGTTTTTATATTAATTTATTTTAATTTAATATGATTTTTATTTTTTGCTTTTATTTATTTTACTTATTGTATTTTTTTTTATTTTTTATATATTTTATTGTGTTTATATTATTGTTTCTCTCTTGTTAAGTTCAACAAATCGCTGGTCATGGCCACGCAGCTGACTGCTTTTATTTAGTATTTCATCTTTGAAGCGTATAACTATTTTTTATTATCTTTCATCTTTATCTTTATCTATTTTGCGATTCACATTGTCAACATCGTGTATCGTTTGTTGTTGTAAACTTTCATATATGACGTTGGAATAGGTGAGAAACCCTTCAATTGTGTCTACTGTGAGAAACGTTTCAGCGTCAAGGATTACCTCACCAAGCACATACGCACACATACTGGCGAAAAGCCCTATACCTGCCCTTATTGTGACAAGCGTTTCACCCAACGCAGTGCACTAACGGTGCATACAACCAAGTTACATCCACTCTAGGGAAGACCGATTGGCAAGGGTAGCCGTGGCCGTTTGTTGACATAGTCTTGGCTCAGTGAAAGTGATGTGAAGATGGAGCTGGAGCCGACCGACGCTGACGCGATACGGGTCGAGACGTTGGCAAACGAGAATTCAGGTGTAAGTGCTAAAGCGAATGCGGCGGGGCCAACTACTACTATTACAACAACAACAACTACAACAACAACAACAATAACGGTACCAGCACCAGTTGCAACAATAATAACAAATCCTACAACCGCAACGATCAACGTATCACTTAGTCGACAACAACAACAACAACATCATCATCAACAACAACAGCAGCAACAACACCAACAACCACAACACGAACAACACCAACTACAACAGCAACAACCGAAACCACCACACCGCCAACAACAACAGCATCAGCAACAATTTCTACAACAACACCACCACCACCACCAACAACAACAACAACAACAACAACAACAGGTGGAAGAAGCAACAACAAACAAAGAACTCGACTTTGTACTGCATTCGATCGGTTTGTAACGTCAATAATACACACATAATTATCAAGACAAGCTTTCGCATGCGGCGCCGGTTGGGTGGTGTGAAAAAAGAGAAAAAAAGAAAAAAAAGAAGGCGAAAAGCGTGAAATCAAGAAATAAAAATTAAGAGGAAACATGAAAAATGCAAATTCGTCTGAGATCTAATTCGCAATATAAACCAACCACTAAAAGGAAAACAAATAAAATGAATGATTTGCAATTAAAAGCCAAAGCTGCAAGAGAGATTTTGCTAATCTCACAAATGCTTATTTGGCGGTGATGTACAAGAAGAAAAAAGACCGCAATAATAAAAACTACAAACATACATGTATAAACATTTATAATATACATACATATGTACACATATACTAAATATAGAAAATGGAAGGAAAAAATGAAACTATAAACACAATCAGCTGTAGCTAAGTAAAAGAGAATGCCGGTTAATTATAATGATGTAAGAGCAAATGAAATACCAAAATGATAAACAAAAGCAAATGTAAAATGCAATTAAGCAAGTACATATGTAAATAATAACAACAACAAAAGCTATATATATATATATATATATATACTTACATACATATATACATACATACATCTAATCGATTAGCGCTAAAGTTTAGTGAAAATGTGGAATTACCACCGTCTAATTATACGTGTAGTTTATATTAAAGGCAAAGTTCAAAAATGTGCATAAATTTGAACTTTTTAACATTAAAAACTAACCTATAATAATTATGTATATCGCTGATAATTCTGAACAATATTCAGAACTTTTTTAAAATTTCATTTTATTTTGTTTTTATTTATTTTTTATAAATATATTTAACTCCTTATATAAAAAAAAAAACAAAACAAGAAACAAAAAAGGCGTATATTTAACTAAAACAAAATTTTTTTTATATATAAAATACATTAATGCTTGTTTTGTAACCGTGCTGTGTTGATAAAAACTTAAATTCGTCACTTTTTAAATTTCGCATTACTTGCTTTTTTTAGCTGTACATACTATATTGCTTTAGTTTTTGATAGAGTTGAGATTTTCTTTAGTTTGTATATATTATGTATGTATATAAAGACACGCATAAGCAGACTTTTATAAATGTAGAAAGAAGTTTTCTAACGCTATAGGGTTTTAACAATTTTATTAGTACGTATTTTAATTTATGTGTTTATTTGTATAATTGCAAAAAGCAAAATGCGTTTGCAAAAAAAATAAATAATATCATCATTGATTTATTTAAATTCATCCATTAAAGCCTGTTTGAAACATTTAAAAATTCATTAATTATGTAATTATATTAGTGGCTTCATTTAAAACGACATTATTTATCTTATTTACTTTTTCGATGAGTGATGTCTCCTTTAAATAAAAAAATTAACATTCAGTTTGAACGGAAAATAGTCCGGTCCGTTAAAAGTTTTACTAATATATTTTATTTTATTTTATAATTTTTATAAATATATTTTTTTTAATTGAATAAAGGGGCCAATACTTGAACTTCTCTATAGTTATTAAATTCTTTTAAATGTGTATTTTTTATTTAAGTATTTTAAAATTTTATGAAATCAGGCTTTATTCGGATTCTACTAAAGCTTTATTTTATTTTTCGCTTTCTTTTTTTGCAAAAACAAATTTTGTATTTAATATTTGATTATTTGCTATTGTCATTAGCGCCAATTTTCATTATAGTACCCATTAAGTTTTCTCAAAATAGTTGTTTCTGATTTGCATGAAATTAAAAAAAAAGTTTAAAGTAGCCCTAAGGATGATGGTTCATTACATTTAAATTTGATTAATTACATTTACTTTTTAATTTTAATTTTAATTTTTAATTATTTTTAGCCAAGCCAAATTATTATTTTCCCTCTTTAATTGCTCTGTAGTTGGTTTGTTTTTTAAAATATAAGAAATTTTTTTTTCTTAATATGAATAATGCGCACATACACATGTATACACATACAAAGATACATATGCATATCTACATGCGATTAAGTTTGATTTGTTTTCATATATTTTTTTCTTCAACAACAGAGCAGGATCTCGGTTGGCTTTAAATACTTATTAATTTTTACACATATTTTACATTAATTAATCACTTCATAATTAAATTATTTGAAAGCTAAGACATTTGGAATATGTAAATTTTACGTAGAGAGAGATGAACATATGAAAAACTTTTGTATCATACCATTTTGATATTTGTTGTATATTCTTTACGTTTTTTTTTTTAATATTTGCTAAAGCATAAATGACTACTTTTAAATTTTTTTTTACTTATTTATAAATTTTGTTGAACATTTAAAATATTTGTATTAGTTGTGTGTATATTTTATGCATTTTATTATATTTCTTTATGCTAGTAGAGAAAGCAATGAATTAATTATATGAAATTGAAATGCAATTTTAACAGCTTTACTAAAAAAAAAAAACACTAAAAAGGAAATAAAAATAGCATAACCTATAAAATTAAACGACAGCATACTAACCAGCGTGCGAGCGCGTTAGATATCTACGCAATGTGCAATACACGCAAATAAAGAGAGAATAAAAAAAATAAGAAAAAATAATATATATATTTAAATATAGAAATATTTCTAGCTTAGCATGTAAGTGGAATTTTAAATGCAACAAAACTAACAAGTCAAAAAAAATCAGCAACAGAAACCCTTAAAATATACTAAATATACAAACATACATACTGTTAATTATCATTGAAAGTGTGATGGTAAATGACTGTTAAAACAAACAACAGAAGATGTAAAAGATATAAAAACAGAGTTAAAAAAAGAAACATGACAAAAAAAAAATAATCAAAAGTTTGAAAATTTAAAACGAAAAAAAAAAACAAAAAACAATCGTAGCTTGTTTAACTATCACAATTTTATGTAAATTTATACACTCATAGCACAATGTAAAAGCAAAGAAAAAACTTAAAACTCAAACTTAACTAAGATAAAACAGAAATCAAACTACAATATATACTGTAAACTAATATACATATACTTGAAAATATTGAAAAACATATAAATATGATAAATAAATGTAATTTTAGGGCGCAACAAATGCAACACTCGCTCGTTGGAAGCGATTTCAAAATGGAAAATTGTTAGCAAAAACGACTTTTTAACTTAACAACAACAATTGTGTAGTAAAATCAGAAAATCGTTAAGCCTACAACTAATTTAATAAGTAAAAAAGCAAAACTGCAAATTAGAAAAACTCGTAACACTACAAAAAAAAAAAAAAAAAAACAACAACTAAAAAGGACTGCGAGCGAGATGAGTAATTTAAATTTAATTAAAAAACATTTGCATTTCAAATGCAATGCATAGTTGTGGAAGCAAAAAGAAAAAAAAAAGAAAAAAAAATCTAAAGCAAATAAGCAGAATACAAAAAACACCAAAATCAGAATTAAGTATAAACGCTTTTGTATAACTACATACCTACATAACTGCACCAATTTACTGTCAGACGAAAGTAAAAATAAGCATTAAAACCAAAACATAAATGAAACGAACTAAAAAGACAAAAACCAACCAGGTAAAATTGTAATGTAAAAATAACACAAGTAAGGGAAACTAAACAACTTAAAAATGTAGCGTAAAAGAAATGAAAAACTCAAGCGCAAAATATGCACAATTAGCGCCAACATAAATATGTTATTTACAAAATTCTCCTTTTCTTTGACCACACTCCAGATGGTCAGCCATTGATAATACTAAAATCACACACACACATGCATACATATGTATAACAATTCAATTATCCAACGCCATTTGCAGATTATATTATATAAATATATGTGTATGTATGAATTAATTATTTTATGTGCAACAAATTTAAATGAAAATAAAATTAAAAATGTAAGTGCACACCAATATGTATACAAAAAAGGAAACATAAAAAATTAGTGCAGAACGAAAAAACATTTTTTTTTGCATAAACATACAACAAAATTAAAAATAATAATTTTAATGTATTTGCAAATCATTGTAAAACGAAAAAAAAAAACGAATATGATGAAAGTGCGAAAAAATTAATTATGAATAAATACATAAATTTAAAAGAAAGAAAAGTATGAAAGTGTACATGTAAAGAATGTGCGAGCAATAATTTAATAAAATATTTCAGTAGAAAAAAGTGTGTGTGTTTCTATGTATTTTCGAATAAAAGAAGATTTTAATAAGGGATTATTTTCATTTAATGTATGAAAAACAAATATAACGAAACAAAAAAAAAAAAACAAACTAAATTGAATAAAAAAAAACCAAATAAAATTAAATTAAATAAAAACAAATAAAATTAAAATTTACTAAAAAAATCTAATGAAATTGCATTAAATAAAAATCAAATAAAATTGTAGTACATAAAGACAAATAAAATAAAATTAAATAAAAACAAATATAATTCAATTTTAATAAAAATAAACAAATAAAATTAAATTTTATTAAATAAAAATATATAAAATTATATTAAATAAAAACAAATAAAATTACATTAAATAAAAATCAAATAAAACTACATTAAATAAAAATAAATAAAATAAAATTAAATAAAAACAAATATAATGAAAATTAATAATAAATAAAAATCAAAGAAAATTACAATAAATAGAAACAAATAAAATTACTTTAAGTAAAAACAAATAATTTAAAATTAAATAAAGACAAATAAAATAAAATTAAATATAATATAAAGAAATAAAACTATATTAAATAAAAACATATAAAATTATATTAAATAAAAACAAATAAAATTACAGTAAAGAAAAATCAAATAAAATTACTTTAAATAAAAACAAATTGAATTAAATCTCATTAAATAACAATCAAATAAAATTATATTAAATAAAAACAAATAAATTAAAATTAAATAAAGACTAATACTTTATTAAATAAAAACATATAATATATTCCAACACAACACACTAACAAAGCTGTTAAGAAAATAGCGGCTAAATTAGCGCACTTAATAATTGTTGGTAACTAATGAATTGAATAATACAACAACAGATTATATATGGCTGATGTTTGCGCAGTGGTAGAACACTCGCCTGTTAAGTCAGTATCCGTTGGTTCGATCCCTGCCATAAGAAGTCTGATGAGGAGATGTGGTGGTATCCGAAACAGCTGTCACTTCTACCATTTTTTCTTAGTTGTATAACAAATATTCAATTCATACAAACAACAAGGCCTCGTAGTTTACTTAATAAAAATTAAAAAAATATAAAATTATATTAAATAAAAACAAATAAAATTATATTAAATAAAAAAAAAATTAAATTAAATTCAAAAAAAAGAAAACAAAATAATATTACATATAAACAAATAAAATAAAATTTAATTAAACAAGTTAAACTAAATATGCATTTTTTTTGGTGATCGTACAAAATGATAATCAAAGTGTATCACATTAAATTAACTTTCGCAACTAGAAACCAGACAAGAGCGAAGAAGACGTAGGCTAAAAAGACGACACTGATAAGAGGAAGGTGAGCTCAATTTTTAACTGGCAGTACCCATATTGAAGAGTTATGTTAGAGCATAATGCTACCGAAGAAGAGCTAAAACAATACACCGGAGAAGCAACCGACTCATTAAACCCTCCGCTATTCATACATGCTCTATCGTATTTCCGGTGGGTAGACGGAAGCGGGCATGTGCTGGGAGACGCTCGAGAGCAAACAAAAGGCCACGCTCGTTTACCTACAATAACTTACAGTCACATACTCTCGACAGAAATTATTGTCCGCTTTCACGTTATATTAAAATAACAAAATCTTGATATTTTACTTGTTTTCTTTATTTATATCTTTAATGCTTCAGTAATATTTAATCTCTTAATTTTTTCACAAATTTATATTTTCGCTTATTTTATTTATTTATGTATTTATTTGTGTATGTTTGTGTATATTTTTGTATGTATATGTTTACATAAATACATTATGTTTGTAAGTATTTAAGTTTCTACATATAGATACAGTATTTTTATATATGTATACTAATTATGTATGTATAAATAATATGTACAAATTTGTTAAAGTAAATTTTGTATAATTTTTATAGTACATATATATACATACAAACAATTATGTATGCGAAATCATTAAAGGATAAAAAGAAAATACTTAACCACAATATTTAACTCAACAAAAAAACACTTGAACTTCACGTTCTTAAATTAAAAAAGAAAAATTCTATATGCATTCGTAAATATAATTTTCCTTGTCACGTTTTTCTCTGACTTAGTAGCTTTATAAGTATACTATTTTCTTATAACCCTTTAGAGTATAAAGGATAGCTACATCTTATATATTTTTTTCTTTTGGCATACATACATATATATCAATATTTTTCTAAACTGCTATCACGCTTTTTAAAGAAGAAAATTTCCAGGGTATACATTTTCTTCGAAGAGTAAATATAATATTCTAAGTTTTTGTGAGTATTTTTTTGTGTTGTTTTTTTTTAATATTGTTTACAAATTTTCAGTCGCATAAAAATGAAAATATGTATGTAAAATGCCAATTTGTCTACGTACTTTGATTTGTAGTTCTGCTTAATTCTTATCTTTGACTATTTAATAATTTAATATATTCTTTAATGCATTTGCATATGATATATTCATGCATGTACATAAATATATTCTAAGAATTTTTATGGTTTGTCTATATATTGAATGTACCATTTTATTTGCTTGGACTCTAAACAACTCTTAATTTTATGTTTTTCAAAATATTTATTTTTTAATTTATTGAATGTTTTTTTTGTTGCCATGTCATTTTGGTACGTCTAACTAGGTATACATGTTTGTATGTATGTATGTATGGTCGTTAGATTTAATATGTTTAATGTACGCCTAGCAATTAGTAGTAATAATACATACATTCATAGCCTGTTACTATTCACCTATATATGTTATATACATAAGTATGTATGTATATATAATAATGTACAAATTTATGTATATGTATGTATGCATCTGTTGTTTACATAAGTTTTCTAAATGCATTTTTAATATTTTTTGATTATTTTCTGTAAACAATTTTCCATTTTTCATATTTATGTGTATGTATATATGTATTTTTTTGAGTATATCTGTTTATTTGTTTGTGTGCGTATTTTCAATACCTGCACGGATTTCATTTACATATGTGCATATAAATAAATATGTACTCGAAAACGTATTTAAATTATTTAGTTGTTGTTTAATATTTTTTTTTATGTACAAATTGGCATTCAATATTATTTTTATTATGTTTTACTATTATTTTTTTTATTATTTCGGTTACATACATACATATATTATACACTAAGTGGACACTTCAGAATTATACGCTTTTTTTTGTCTTGGCTCGTCTCGTAGTTTCACGCAAAGCTTCCTGTCAAGTTGAGGTTAGGAAATGCACGAAAGTTGGTTTCAAAATTTATCTATTTTGCGTGGAGTTTTTGTGTTATAAAACAAACAAAAAATCTGAGTTTTGAAACATATGAGCTTACATTTTCTGAATTTTTTTTATAGTTTTGTTTTGAACATTTCTATTGAATTTTTTGGAAACAGAAAAATTTCTAAGCGCTCTAAACTTTAAACTCTCATTTAAAACAGTTATAAGCTTTAAAAAGCTTTAAGAACTGAAAAGTTTTTAAATAAAATACGTGTTGATTATATTAAACCATCATTTAAAAAAGTTGTAAGCTTCTTTTAAAAGTTTGAAACTTTAAATTTTCATTTAAATTTAAAAGCTATGAAAACGGGATAATTTTAAAACGCTTTAAGCTTTAAACTTTCATTTAAAACAGTTGTAAGAAAAAGTTTTAAACCTTAAAATATCATTAAGAAGTTTTGTAAACTTGTGAAAGCTATGAAAACGTGTAAATTTTTAAAAGTTTTAAGCGTGAAACTTTGATTTAAAACAGTTATAAGCTTTTGAAAACTTCGAATGGGAAAATTTTTAAACTAAATATTAAATTTTCTTTAAAAAAACTTGTAAGCTTTCGGAACCTTACAAATATCTGATAATTTCTAAAGCTCTTACAGTTTTGACAGCTTTCGTGGTTTTCGAAACTTTTGTGCGCATTTTATTTTGAAAAATTTCGAGACCGCAATTTCTACATTAAATTTCATAACTAAAAAATTAATTTCAAATAAAAAAATTAACTTCGGAAAATTCAAAATATTCTACGGATTAAAATTGTCTGTTTTTGATATTTGGGATTTTTAAAATTAGTTTAATTTTGACATGAACCTTTGCATGACTATGTGCGACTGCGAAAACAATGAAATGCAGATATATAATTGATTTATCTTAAAATAATTTAAAAAAATTCAAAGCGAATGAGAAAATACTTGCGTTTTTTAAAACTTTAAACTCATTATTTTTTTTTAATTCTGTCTCGCAACTTATTAGGCATATTAAGCAGTTTTGTAATTCAATAAAGCAAAAGCTTTACATAATTACGGGCGCATTGAATTTAAAAACAAATAGCAGCTTGCTTAAGTGTTTTATATTGTATTTAAGTTTTTTCTTTTCAAAAATAAGTTCTAGCAATTACTGAGAAAGTCTCATATACACGTACACGTACTTACTTAAAAACTATTGTATTTTGTTTTGTTCTTTGAATTTGTTATTTTTCTAATACTAAAATTATGCAACAACTGGTGTATTTTATGAATTGTGTTTATCATTACTATTATTTAACAAATTCAACAACAGCGCTTTTAAATTGTATATATGTATTTGCTACTTGTACGCGGTATTTGTTTTTTTTTTTTTTAAGAAAGAGTTAGTACAGAGAGTTTTACAAAAATTATACCTTTTATTTTGTTTGAAAAAGAATTTTATTTAATTGAAATTTTCGAGAAACACAAAGAATTTTTTAAGTAGAAATCTTTCACGCCATGCACCTTATATGTACATACAAGCACACGCTACATATATGTACATATGTATGCAAATACATTTTAAGACTATAAGCTCCAATTTACAACTGTTTTGAGTACGAATACTTTTGGCTCTAGAGTTTTTAAGTCATATTTAAGTAAAACTATGCACAACATTTATTGTATTATCATTGCGTGTACTGTATAGTATGTTAAGTATATGTAAAGTACTTTAAGCTCTATTTATATTACTACGCGCATAATAATTGGTATCTCTCTCTTTGTCTCTCTCTCTCTCTTTCGCAAAAGAGTCTTTTCGAAATTAAAAATTTTAAAAATAAAATAAAATCATATTTATTAGTAACTACAAATAACTACTTGCGTTTGGCTAAGGAACTAAATTGAAGCGAGTTCTTAAGTGTGTTTAGTCAGTTATTAAAATTTTAAGCTCTTAAAAAGCCTAAATGTAGACTATACGTTTTTAAGGTGAACGCTTAGCAAATTTTAGTTTTTGTAGTCTGCTTATAGGCGCACAATGAAAATGGATATTCTGTATTTAATGTTTAAGCTGAAATTTAGTTTGAAAAACTAATTTTTCGACTTATCTTACCCTCTCACACACTCACACTCTCACTCTCACATGCATACCCCACTTTATATCACAATTCTTCTTAATAATTACTTTTCATTTGTGCATTTGTTTGTTGAATTTTTTAAAAAGTGCTTATTATGTATGTATGCTATTGTAACAATTTTCCAAACAACAAAAATACCATTACAATTATTTTTTGTCTTCAGCACAATTCTAAAGTAAATGTTTTCATTGTTCTTTACAGAGGTGGGCTTTGCTGCTTTATTCGTGCATTGTAACACTTTCTTTTTTCATCAATTCTTTTTTATGATAAATTTTATAAATCATAACTCTTTGTTTAATCTCATACTTTAGTTATATTTTATTGTTTTTTTTTTGTTATCATAACTACTTCTTGTGCTTTAAACTAATTTTGTTTTCGCTAATACATTTTATTAACATATTTTTTTTATTCTGATTTTCTATTTTTTTTTTAGATAACTATCACAATTAACTTATTTTGCTTTCTTAGTTCAATTAAAAAAATTAAAATACGAAACGCAAATATTTTTTAAATATAATAAACTCTGGTGTAGATTTTAATGATTTTGAAAGAAAAGCTTAAAAGCTTAAAAGCACGCCATATTTTTAGGCTCTGCAGAGTGGTCTAACAAGCAGAAACAAAGTTGTTTTAACAACCGAACAACTAAAAATTAAAAGCTCATAAAAGCTCTTGAAAGCTTTAAAATCGCTGAAAATGTAGGATAGAGGCTTTGTCATCCTTGCTGCTGTGCAGCTGAAAGCTTTTTGTAATCTCAATGTGCTTGAAAGCACGGTAGATTTCTAGGCTCTAATATATTTGCCAAAAGACTATCTTTATAACAATTGAACCTCTAAAGCTCAAAAGCTCGTAAAAGCACTTATAAAGATCTCTTGAGATTACTTTTAAAATCGCTAAAAAAATTTATTCAATAAAGAATTTTAAATATTGCCCATCTCCTCAAAGTCTCTATGTAACTGAAAGTTTGTTATCTTTAGAAAATCTCATTGTGCTTGAAAGCTTGAAAGCTCACCAGAGATACTTGAAATTGTATAAGATATTTGCCAGATGAACATACGAAATAACGCAAATGGAACACTTGCTTAAGCTGAAATGTTAAAACTCAAGCTCACAAAAAAAGGACCTGTTTCTTTTTTTACACGATAACCATTTGCACACTTCTAAAAGTTCACTGTGCTTGAAAGCTTGTTAAGAATTTAATGGGAAATATTGCAAAAACTATTCTTAAATTGAATTAAACGTATAAAAGTATATCAGTGAAATTCTAACAACTAGAGAAATTAACCTCAGTTGTTCTCCTGATAGTCTTTTGATTATGTTTAAATAGTTTAAGTTCGGTTGGGCCATAAACAGGGTCAAAGATATTCTGTATGAAATGAATATTCATACAAACAAAATACTCCATTAACGGACAAAAGCTCATAAAAGCTCTCGGTAGCTTAATGAAACTCTTTGTTAAAATCCTCAAAAAACTTGCTAAATGAATTACTTCTGCGAACTTACCTTAGACTGTCTAAAACGCTTAAAAGCTCTCGAAAGCTTTCTGAGGCTACCCAAAAGTTGTCATAGTATTTTTTTTGTGACATTCGCGTTCTAACTACAAGAAGAAGTGTTTTAAATAATAATATTTTGCACTAACAATGGTTTTGGATACCCAATAATAGTTGCAAATGTTAAACAACTCTGCGTTGACAAGTTCGCGGGCACCTCTACCCAGGATTTTATCGAACGATACTTACTTCCTCAAATATTTACTGAAATCGAATCTTTAAAAGAGAAAGGCTCCTAAAAGCTCTTAAAGCTCTTGAAATCAACTTTTTAAAGCGCTAAGAGTCACACTGTAATTACTTGAGTGAGAACTAGACATTTTGCTATATGGTTGTTTAGACCAGTAATCTATTGCCTATGCATATTTTTCCCCTTTTAAAAATTAATAAACGTAAACAATTTTAAATAGAAGTTATTTTTTGGCTTATATAAAATGTATAAAATTTGTAAAAAATCACTTAGTAAAATATTAACGCGCTTTCGCTTGAAGTTAAGTTGAAATTAGAGAAGACTTTCTACTCTTACACAAATACAGTAGAATTCACTTAATTATGCACACACTTACTTTTTTGTATTAAACATGCTTATCAGCTTAAGCAAAGGATATACACACATATGTATTTACATAATTTATACGTCAATTTGATCATATTTTCAACAACATCTTTTATCTCTTTTTTTCTTTTTGAAAATTCAAACAAACTTGGTTTCTTGGCTTTATATTTTGAAAATCAACATCCACTGCTTTCTTTATTGGATATTTTTCCGCACAACTTTTTCGCCTTGTTCCAAACACTTTATGAAATTTGATTTTATTTACGAATATATATATATATATTTTTTTCCCATATTTTCCTTTCTATGCGCTCATTTTCTTCACACCCATGTCGTCCACTTTTTTGTATTTCACTTTGAATGCGAGACAATGGAATGTGAAATGGCCGAATGTGAGAGCATCGAGTGAGAAATGCCTGATATTTCGGCATCTGTTGGGCCCTCCACGCTGCACACAGAGTCTTCGGGCGTACGCGATGGCTCGGCTTCGGTAATTTCTATATCCTGATGATGTTTGTTGCTACGATGTTTGGCACTTAGAGCCTACGGTGAATTAGGTGGGGAGAAGAAAAATTTTAAGAAGAAATTAATTAGTTTGTTTTGTTACGATTTTTAAGGTTATTAATATTTTTTTAAATTATTAATGCTGTACATTTATGCATGAGACATACTGTTATTGTGCTAAACGAATGTTTCTTTTTCATGTGTGTTAAAGGAAAATGTGCAAAAAATAATTAAACCTAAATAAACAGCAAATAAATAAATATATTATATCATTGCATGCTTTTCCATGCCATTTCCACTTTGGAAGCATTAAAAAGAATACCAGTATGTACATGTATTTGTAACTATGTAAGTGTTTGTGGTTATAAGAAATAATCTAAAAATAAGGACTTCTTTTAAATACAAGGAAGCTATTTGGTTTAGGATTTTTTGTACAATTATACACATATAGATATGCTTTTAGGGTTAGAAAGATTTTACATAGAGAAACAACGGAATTGACAGTGAGGAGTGCGCGTGTGTGTGCTGCGGTTGAAATAGTTGAAAAACCCTAAATATAAAGGTGGTTTTTAGTGGTGGGTCTTCAAGAGAAAATCAAACGTATATAATATTGGGTTGCCCAAAAAGTAATTGATGAACAAGAATTTAGCTTTATTGGAAAGAGTCCATACCACGATGCGAGATAAAGCGCACACCAAAAGTTAACTTCAATAAGCTGAACTTGTCGTTGGTTGTATGACATGTGGCGCCATCCTGTTGGAACCATTAAACTCCCCAAAATCATTAATCATGGCTCTATAGCGTTCTCCATTGACTGTAGCTTTGGGACCGACTTCTTACAATCACTCTAATAGCGACAAGTTTGTTTATTAACGTACCCATTCAACAAAAAGTGAGCTTCTTCGCTGAACAAAATCTTCTTGCGAAAATCGAGATCGATGGTCATCTAATTTTGTTAATAAATTTGCACGATTTGGAGATCTTGTTTCAGAGTATATCTGTTAATTATGTAATGGGAAACCAAATTGAGCATAAATCAAATAATTTAATTCCAATTAAGACCAGCTCTGAAAAAAGTATGCCCTCATTGCAGACCACAAGTCTAATTAAAATACGCTCTAGTTATGAATGGATGTAATGGGGTGTAGTAAAGCTTCTGGGCATGCAGTTACAGTCGAAGGGCTATTTTCAATTCAAGCTAAAGGAGGGGAAGCTTAAGTACAGCCACTTCTAATATGTTCGGTTCACTGTTGCCTAATTTCAGTCTAAAAAGTGCGATAGATGGGACAAAGGCGGAAGAAGGTGGGACCGGATTAGTGGTAGGAGAGAAACACCGTAGACTGAATTCACTTCGGTCTACGTCTCGCCACAATCCGCTGCAAAGCGAAGTTTTTCAACACAAGGCACCGATGGAAAAGAAAGACGATGTGGCCATGGATGCTCTTTATGAGCGCCTGCGTGAACAAAGAAGGTATCTTCGTCACAACTATCGGAAAAATTCCGCCTCCACGATGAAACATCCCCGAAAGGGTTGAGGCTGGTGGTACTAAATTCCAGCACAAAAAAAAACTCAAAAGCTCTTCATAAAAACCCATTGGCCATCCAGAAGCGGCTAAAAATAAATTGTAGATAACTTCATTGAAATCCCCAATTATTATATGTACTTGGGTGGCTCCGAATAGAAAAACTCACAACCAGATCGATTATGTTGCGATAGACGGACGGCAAGTCTACAGTATTTTTTACATGCATATACTCCGAGGATCCAATATCGACTTGAACCACCATCTTGTGACAGAAAAGTAATGCGCACACCTCTATGAAGCAAAGAGGCTCATCAACAAATACAATGAAGGTTCAATGTGGGAAAACTGCAGTTACAACAGATTGTCGAACAGTTACTACTCGACTTGAACTCTTGCTCTCTGAGAGCTCTAACCGGTTACTCAGTATAAGGAAACTGTGGGACAGCGTTTCAAGCTCTCTACGTACAGCTTAAAACGAAACTATTAATTTTCGAAAAGTCTAAAAAACAGCTCCTACGATGAGGATTGCCAGGCTGCAAGAGCAAACAGGCTGTCTACGATCGACCACTACAAGTGCGGATTGGGATAGATACTGAAAACTGAATAGCAAATCAAGACGCATGTGCAAACAAGAAAATAGGAAGACTAAGATCCGCTTTTTCTCGCTCATCTGATCTTTATAACGAAGTTGAGGCCCTTCTCATCCGATGCTTTCACAAATGAATACTGTATCGAACACTTTCAAACGGAAGCGTCTACATGCCAAGGCCTTTTCCTCGAAGCTTCCCAAAGCCGACTATTCGGATGTTGTCATCGTCTGCGCTGCTCCACTACGAGTATATGCATAGCAGGAAGGGAATAATGAGCTACTTGTAGTGGAACATTTCGAGGCTGACATTGACTGGTATAGATGTTGATTCAGAGATAGACGAAATTATCAATGACTTCAAGGTAAGCGAAAGTAACTTTTAAACTCAGACATCATAGAAGTAGGCAGCCTCTTTTAGTGTTATAGCAAGCTGATTTAAAATAGATTAAAAGATGGTGTGTGTCGATGTTTTTCTGTCGGATCTTTTACAAGATTTGGCGTATGTTGAATAGTTAGTCAATAATGGCTCTATAGCAATTAAGCCACTCAGATAAGATTAGATATTGTCGAGCTACCTCAACGTGAAAACCTTTCTAGAGTATTTCTGATATAAAATTTGCATTACCGTTTGCAGATGGATTTTAAACATTAGGTTTTTCTGAGACTTTTCAAATTGAAGAAAACCAATTTTTCCATTTTTTTTGCTTCCAATATAAAATTTGGCATCAGTTTAATTTTTTATTTGCAAGACCAGTTCAAGTATCAGGTGTACAACTTTGCTTCCGCTGTTTTCGGATAGGTGGCTGTACCAGCTGAGGCTGGTTGAAATACATAGATGATAATGCCTTTAAAGTGAGTGTGGACAGTGCCTGCTGAATTGTCATCGCCATTTCAGTGACAGTTGTTCTTGTTTTCGTATTATTCACACTCGAAAACGTCCTTTTATGTCCCTAATTCTCGCCATTTGCGGGAAGTTTTACTTTTCTGTTACAATTTGAAAAAAAAAATTGCAGCTGAAGCGCATCGAATGCTCTCAGAAACTTACGGCGATGCTGCTCTGAGTGAAAGAACGTGTCTGGAGTGGTTTTAAAAATGGTGATTTCGATGTCGAAGACAAACAGCGTTACGATTTGTATTTGGTGGAATCAGCTCGGTGTGATTTACTACGAGCTCTTAAAACCATCCAACCGCTGAAACCATGACAGGAGATCGCTACCGAATGCAACTTTTGCGTTTTAGTCGCGCGCTAAAAGAAAAACGGCCACAATATCAAGAGCGACATGACAAAGCCATCCTTCAACACGACAATGCTCGGCCTCACGTCGCAAAAGTGGTCAAAAAGTACCTGGAAACGCTGGAATGGGAAGTCTTACACCACCCGCCGTATTCCCCAGATGTCACCCCTTCTGACTTCCACCTATTCCGTTCGATGGCACACGGCTTGGCAGATCAACATTTCCAATCCTTCGAAGAATTGGAAAAATGGATTGCTTCATGGATAGCGTCAAAAGAGGACTCCTTTTTCCGAGCCGGGAACCGAAAATTGCCGGAAAGATGGGAGAAAGTTGTCGCTAGCGAAGGACAATACTTTGAATAATATTATTAATTACAGATGTAAGCACTTCTTCGCAATAAAGCTTTTAATTTTGGAAAAAAACGGCGGAAGCAAAGTTGTACACCTGATAAAAAGTGTTATTCGCACGGGACAAAATATAAATTAACCTCGTACTTAACAACGCACAGCACACATTTTAGAAGTTTTCAGGGTACACAGAAATATTTATATAAAGAGTGGCTCTCACGTACACCGAAATAAAAAGGAGACAATCACATTGACACATAGAGAGTAGAAAAGGATAAAAGAGAGGGTACTGATATAGGACAATAAAAGATTGACGACTAAAGTTAATTCATTTAGTATTGGGATTTAAGAGGATTACTTATTTACGTTAATTACATAGCTACACAAGTGGGGTAAGAAGAAGAAGGAGAAGAATTTTATGAGGTTAGCTTGTTTAGCTCGTTGCTTACCTTATCTTTGCTTCCTTTCTTCTACAGTGTAACGAAATTAGTAACAAACAAAATGTTAACAATAAATTAATGATGAACACATACATATGTACGAGTATTAAAAATTGTATACAAAATTATTACGAAAATGGGCACATACGCGTATATGATGATTAATGTATGAAGGTATAAACGGTATATATGTATATATTTATTTACTATTTATATGTAAAATAACTATGTTTTTTAAACTAGCTAAAATAAGTATTTTTGTGTGTATATAATACGATTTTTTTAACATATGTATGGGTTAATGGGACTCTGTAGCTATTTTGGTATTGAAACTGTTATATAAAAGATGAAGTTTCTATTAGGAAATACATATATTTCACCATAAAAATAAATTTGCATAAATATATTGTACATACATATAGACTCAAGGATTCACTATTTTATTTGAGGCAAATAAATACTTTTTTACTTTTTTTTCTTTACAAAAATTGTATATAAATGTGTTATACTGGCATACAGTCTCACCAACTGCTGGTAAATGTTCATATTCAATATGTGTATGTATGTATTAGAACTATAGGCTATACAACAATTCAAAAATATATGTAAGTAAATTGCCTTCAAACGGCAAAATCACCGCTGAAACTTACTTGCAACGAGAAGCGACGATGGCCAGCCTTTCGTCCGCCACGTCGTTTACTTATATGCGGATTGTCTTGACGTAGGGTTTTATTTTTTAAAATTTCAAGTTGTGTATACAGTCTGCCAAAAATTAGGGGGAAAAAATAAATTTTTCAATAAAAATCACAATTTTTCCTTTTATTCTTTTCTTTTCCGCTTCTTACCTTTTGAGTTCGGCACGTATATCCTCTGGGCTCATTTCGGCAATGGTTAGTTCACCAATATCGGGATCACCCAAACATAGACCAGCATAACCACCGCCCAGGCGTTGCGGATCGTTGACCTTGAAAGCATCCACAGGTAAACGTATTGATAGATTCATGGGCAAGGGTACCTGCAAGCTATGAATTTGCAACAAACACCGCCAAAAACACACACGAAGGTAGATAATAAAAAACAGAAGAAAAACGAAAAAACTACAACAACAAACAACAAAAAATATGACAGAAATAGCAAGAAAGTAAGTTAAAAAAAAAATCAAAAGAAACACCGAACGGAGAAGATAAGGGTGAGTAGAAGTAATAAGAGAGATGAATAAAATTAAAAATAAAAAAATATAATTATATTTACAAATAAAACAAAAACAAAACAAACAAAAAAATTAAACAATAATCTTTAAATGAATGATGCATTATGTGGCTGAATACTTGTAGAGAAGTTTTTGAATTGAGATTTAAATTAACAGTCAAAAGTAAAAAAAAAAAAAAACAAAAAAAAAAAAAAANATTAAAAAATAAAAAAAAAAAAAATAAAATATAAATTAAAAAAATATTTATAGAATTGTGTAATCGAAATTAAAGAATTAAAGTGAAAACTGTGTACTCAAGGTTTATAGCATAAAAGGTTCAGACAACTGTCTGTCTAAAAGCTCCCTAGAGGATTGGCTGTAAAAATAATGAATAGGTTGCATAATTTTGAGGACCATCGCCTGTATGATCTATCGAAGGTAGCCAACATTAAAGTCATGGATCTAGTGAGGTTCATTAGAGCATCGAAATAGTTGGATAATGAAACCAAATGGTCAAGTTTTGTGGCATCACTATGGGTTTTAGCTAGGCCTAAGTGTAATCGTTGCACATTTTTTCACCGCTTCGAAAGATTAAACGCAATTTTTTCGCAAGATAGGGATCAAACATTTCTTACAGTTCTCATATCCGATACACAGCTTATGCTAAAAACGGTTACTGTATTAAATTTTTATAAATAATGCGCGCGTTCGCTTAGAATTTTGCAAGGCGGATTCGCAATGGCGAAAAAAGCGAATATTGGCATTCCCGAATGTCGTGGCATAAGCAAAACAAAAGTATCAAAATGAGTACAATTATATAATTGGCGCTTTGTAACCGCTGAAATGATTTTCAGCCGAGCTCCTCTCCCACAAATGGAGGGACCTACAGTTTATTTTAAGCCGCCGAGCTACGATTCCATGTGTTTCCCGATGGGCAATTACTACTCGAAGCCTGCTTTCAGAATGGCAGTAAGCATAAAGCTTTGCACCCACCAATAATAATTACTACAAGATGAATTAACAATCTTGTTGTTAACACTTTACTATTTGTTTCACCTGACATTCTGGAGCTCTACCAGACGATAAAAAAAAGAAAACGGCTGAGCGTTCAGCTTCACCTTAACTGAATTCGCCATTGAGTTTGGATAATTTTAATTATTTTTGACATTACTTAAGCCTATCATCAAGTAAAAGAGAATTGCTAGGTGTCGCGCTTTTTTGTTCAAAAACAATATTAATTTCCATAATTAAAATATTTGTAAATATTAAAATATATTTTTCGAAATAGAAATATTTAGAATGTACAATACATACATATTTAGAGTTTGATAATTAAAATGTTAATAGATAAAAATGTGCAGACTTATTTTCAAGACTTTGGCAACCCACAAATTAACATACGTCATTAAGTATAGGCTTTTGGTGTTGGCGTAACCTTATTCTTTATAAATCCTGCTGTGGACTATAGTTTCTTGTGTGTCAATTCTAAGTGGAGAATTTTTTTTTTTAAATCAAAGATAATATATTTTTTTTTAAATACAGTGTAAATAGAAGTTTGAAGTGAAGGTTGTGATCTACAGTTTTTTGTATGCTAAACTTAAATCGAGTAATTTGTGTAAATTTCATACAGCGCAAGTGAAATATTTATTGTGTGACGGTGTAAAATGTACATTTGCGTTAAATAGGGAAGCAAACTGGACAGAACTGACCTATAGCTAAGCCTGCGGGATGAAAAGCTGTTGGGTAAAAATTTATTTTCTATTAATTAAAAATTTTTTTTTTATTTTCATTTAGCTAGTGGAAATTTTCTTTTTGCTGTAAATGTTATTGGTATTGTTGTGGTGATAATTTTTATACTGCATTGTTATGATGTTGACGCTAAAAAAAAGAGAAAATAAAAAAGAAAAATAGAAGCAATTGTTGAAAAAAATTTAAAAAAAAATAAAAAAATATTTTAAGTTAAAACACAAACCTAAAAAATAAGCATACGTGTATATATGGTACATTACTTGTACGAGAACTACTTGAAAAATTAGTTGACATTTAAAATTTCGTGTGCTGCATATACTCATATGGAATGTTTAGTTTTTTGTGTGAGGTATAAAGGTGCTATCGAAAAAAATTGATTATAAAATTTGCCCTCCCAGGACAGCCCGAAGCAATTGTTGAGGAAGTTAAGAAAACATCCTGCACTGAAAAGCCAAACTTGTTTATATAAATTCTAATTAAATACTAGTATTTTGAAGATGATATTTTTCCACTTCGCTATTTGTGCACAAGTCACCAATAACGGGAAGCACAATAACTTCGTGGTGGTGGATATGATTTTCCACAAAATAATGAGTGAGTTTCCATGTCGACATGCTGAGGCATTAGTTTATTAGGCGCAGCTTGCTGTTCGAGTCGAGTGAATAGATGCTGTCGCTGTCCTGCATGAGATCCACTGCTGGCATTTTACTGTAGATATATTTATCATTATTTTTATTTTTTCGCTAGAAATTCAATCATCACAAATGAACTGGTATTTAACTAGTATGTAGCTGATGTCAAGTCGGAAAATTTACAATAAGAGCTGTTATTTTTTATAGCCTGCCATTCCGGTAGATGTCACTTTTGAAGCTAAAATTTTTTGACATTTGACAAGTAAAAATTACGCGAGTAATAAAAATAGGGCATTGAAATAATTAAAATGCACTATGAATATTTTATCGAAAAGGGAACTTGACTGTTGGGGCTCATTTTTGCCACGATGACTACGTTAATAAGTATACCGGTTGCATCTGGGGCTCGGAAAACTCAATAATTATTGTATTATTGTTGTAAAGCCTCACCATGCCCAACTTGTAACCGTATGGGACGATTTATGTTACGGCCATTGGACTTTACGTTTTCAAAAATTAATGGTTTGCCCCATTTAGAGGTGATTAATAATTTTTTATATCCGGAATTGGATGGTAATGAACCGGTCAAGCAACGAAACCAACAATCTTTTAAGGGAAAAGTTTCTTAGAATATCACATTAAACCCGTTATAATCGGGATTCTATTTCTGGATATAAAGTAAATACCAATTGAATTGCTCTCTTTCTTACAGAAGACCGTTAACAACTAGCATCCTTTACAGCAGGACAGTTATAAAGATTTGTGATTTTGTAATAATGAAATAACTGACGACATCAGCATATATGGCGGCCGCGGTAGTTAGCATTGCGCAGTGCCATTCGGAAGGCTCGGGTTCAAATCCCCATGCGACCAAGATCCAAAAGTTATAAAAAATTTGTTTATAATAAAAATTGAGCTAAATTTTCTAATTGCGGTCGCCCCTCCACAAGAAATGTCAACCCTTCCGAGTGTATTTCTAACATGAATTAAAGCTCCTAATAAAACAAAAATCAGCCGTTCAGAGGCGGCTTATTATAAACTTTAAGTCCCTCCATTTGTTGGGGAAACATCAAAGCGCAAGACCACAAATTCGAGGAGGAGTTTGGCCGAAAATCGCTTCAGTGGTTGCAAAGCGCCAACCATATAATTATATATCAGAGTATGTCTAAACTGTGTGGCATTTCAAAATTGGCAAAAAAAAAAATGCCATGAGCAACACTCAAGAATAGAAGAAGTCAATAAAGACCTTGGACCTGATGAAAAATCATGTGAAACGTCACATTGTCCTAATTAAAGGTTCCAAGAGCACCGAGACGTAAAAAAGTACGGCGAACTCAATCAACTATCAAAGTGCTCTTCACTGTCTTCTTCGATGCTCGCAGTGTAGTGCAACAGGAGTTCTCACTAGAAGTTTATAAAGTTAATAAAGAGTATTATTCCGAGGATTTCCTACGTTTGCACGAAACAATGAGGAAAAATTCTCGAAGCTTATCTCTCGCCATTGTCTATTTGATTTTTATTTGTGAAGGCGCTGTAATTATACCTTTTATTCTTTGAGGAAGCTATCTTGTCTTGTTCCCAAGTCTAAAGAGATCTATGAAATTACAGCGAATGAGTGCAAGGTTTGAACTGCTTTGAGGTTGGGAAAAACGCTTGTGTATTATATCTGAGGCGAACTAATTTGAAGGGAACAAAAGAGAACTTAATTAATTAAATAATTTAAAGAAAAAATGAAAATTTGCTATATATTTTAAACAGATCCGTAAAGTAGTAAATGGCATAGTTTTCTTCCAGAACCCCTTATTATGTCGTTAAATTATTCTTTTTTTTCTTTTGCTACTGCCAATGTGAGAAAATATGCAACCTGAGATATTTTTCATTTTGGACATGGAATTGAGGGGTAGAAAATTGTAGTTGTCAAAATAATGAGTTGTTATAAAGCATTAATTTAATAATCGAAGTACGGTTAAGACCCAACAATAACTTCACCAACGATTCGGGAGTAAATACCAATTGAATTGCGCTCTTTTACACAGAAGACCGTTATGATCAGTATTCAATACAAAAATAGCTGCACTTTTTCCATGTTAGTCTATGATTTATAGACTTGATCAGAATCAAAAAAGCAGGCGTGGCAACTCCCATACTAACTAAAATATTTCTTGTTGTGTTATTCTTGAAATTATTGTGGTAGAGTTGTTGGAAATTGGTATGGAAATAGAAGAAATAAGCGGGTAGTGTTAAGAAATATGGCCGATTACAACAAAAACAACAACAACATAAGTATGGTTTTGTCAAATCTACTCTAACATAAAATTATTTTTTTTGTTGTATTTTTGTTTTTTACTATTTTGAGATATTTTTATTGTATTGTATTATCTGTGTGTTGATTAAAAATAAATTAATATATAAATTAAGATAAATACGCCTTCAGTATAATTAAATATGTATGAGTGGTATGTATGGTATGAGTGACTTAAAATAATAACTAAATAAATTATAATCTAACAACTAATTCAAAATTGAAATAAAAATACTAGTACATATAAAGTATATATAAGTAAATATTTATGAGGTTTTGAAATTGTTTCAAAGTCTAAATAGTAGATTCCATAGTTTTTATACGCTATTTCAAGTCATATTAGAAGATTATATTAATTGATATACATATTTAAGACATACATACATACATACATATATATATGCATATGCAGTAGTTTCTTTCAGCAAGGTTTGGATACATAGTTTTTCATTTGGGAAATTTCATTAAGTAATCAAATAGTATTGAAGAATTTTCACGAGAGGAAACCGATTTTTGTTATGGTAAATGAAACGAGTTAAATGAAAAGAAAAAAAAACTAATAGTTGATGCATACAAATTTTGAAGTTTCACATGCATTTTATGGTATAAACAAAAATCCATAGAAGGACATTTTTTGTAATTTGCGAGATGCTTCACATTAGCTATACAAGATTTCAGCATTCCATAAATGTGGGTTCTACATGCCTTATATTTATGAATTTATACAACTTATTCGTAAGTAAAATGATTAAAAATCAAATATAAAAATTTTCTATATACAAATTCTATTTCAGCATACAAATTTTTTGCTCGTTGAAAATTTTTGTTGAAAAAGAGAATTATTTAACTGAGCAGATTTTTGCAACTAAAAAAATGTTTTTTTTTTCAAAAAAAAAAGTTTAAAAATATAATAAATTTATTTCCAAAATTTTGTGTAGTCTCTCTTCAAAAAGGCTAAAAGAAACGCATGCAAGAGAGGATATAATTTTCAGTGTTCTAAGAGGCCCATGCTCATAGAAACATCATGCTATAAATACCAAAACTATTGTAGTATTTTCTACACTCGCATGCAAAACATGTTGAGCGTAAATTCGAAATTAATAAAATTAAATTATATATGTTTATAATATTAGTATTAACAAAATTCGCAATTAAAATGATGAAATAACAAAAGTAAACGCACGCAGAATACTTGCAGCAACTTCATAGCTCGACTTTATTATTATATTTTTGGTATTAATTTTTTCAATTAATTGCAGGTATAATTAAAATATTTATGTTAATATATACAGTTATTTTTTAAATAATTATTATTAATTAATAACTAATTTAATTAATGTAAAACTCAAATTAAATGAATTATAAACTATTTTTTTTTGTTCTATTATACAAAGCATTAAAAATAACAAATTAACAAAAGCCGTTTCCTTCGAACATTTTCTTGAAATTAGTTTTTGAATTTATTATAGTGCTGAATTTCCACATAAATCTTAAAATATTTAAATGTGCCTTTGTTTAAGAAATCGCACTGAACATTTTTTTTATTAAAAAATTAACGTCGGCGCTCTAATTTCGGAGGAGTCCTCAATTTATGGTCTACCTAGATAAAAAGCTCTTGATATTCGTTTTTTAAAAAGACTCATTTTTGGCAAATGATACGGCGCAAAAGCTGTTTTTTTTTGTAAAGAAAGCTCTAATAGCTTTTACTATTTTCTTTATCTCAAGATTTTATTTCAAAGATTTTCTTTTATATACCATAAAAGGTGTAGGATTAAAGCTCTCAAAAAAGTTGTTGGTTACTATTGAACAAGAGCTTTTACTGCTTTTTTAAACGTCTATTTTTTTGAAAGCTTATATTCCAATGAGTGTGTATAAAGGATGAAAGTATCCAAAAAATTTTGATTTCAATTGTTGGTACAGAACTAAAGCTCTAATGAGCTTTTATCTTTTTAATTAAAATTGTAGAACAATTAGATTTTTATTAGATTTAAATTTAAATTTATGACATATGTAATTGAAAAGCTTTTAAAATTTGCAATTTACAAAAACAAATATCTGGAAGCTCTTTATTTAAAAAATGTATGCCAATAAGCCCTTTATTGGATGAAACCTTTATTTGTAGCATATCTAGTTATAAATCTTGGTACCTAATACGTGGTAGTTGGTCCAATTATAATGAAATTTTACCATTTAACTAAAAAAAAAACTTAATCAAATGAAACCACATTTAGGAAGAAACCTTATTTTCTATTTTATCGAATTAAAGAGCTGTTTAAGAAGAGTAATATTCGGTATTGTGACTATTTATTGAAAGAGCCCTAATAATGAAAAGTACGAAAACTGTAATGGGCATTTACCATAACTTTCAAATTTAAAAGAAAATCTCTCAAACCTGGAGTACAATGCTGAAGCCTACACAAAAAAAGCTTTATTTTCGAAATTATTTAAATTAGTTTAATTTTTCTGTTCTGGTCTTTTGGAAGTATAACTTGAATAAGAAATAATTTTTTTTTTAATTATTTGGTGGTCAAAAGAATTTAAATTCCATTACTTTCTGGAAGCACAATGGTTATCATATATCTTCAATTCTTGTAGCAGGAAGGATATTATAACCTTAAAAAGACAATTTTTATACCGATTCGTGAAAGTCGAGAGAAGCTTTCACCGCAATATATATAATATTGTTTTACTAAAACAACAAAGTCTCTTAGAGTAACGCCTGCAAAGCACTAAGAACTGTGAGCTTTCCTTCGATAAGCTTTTCAATTTTTTTGCCCGAAATGTTTCATTTCAATGAGTTCAACTTTTAGTAGTTTACTGTACACATTTCTCCTTCTTCCTTTTCTTATTTTTACCTCCTTCATAACTGATATATGATGAAATTAATACAACTTAATTAACAAAAATATTAAATAAAAATTTTAACTAAAATATAACTTAACAAACAATTTCTGCTTCGTCTTCTTCATCAACCTCATCTTCGTCATCATCCTCATCATCATCATAATCATCATCATGATCATCAACATGATGAACATCTTCATCTTCTGCTTGACGACTCACCTGCTTATGTTGATACCACAATTTTGGCACAAATATCAAACCCAACGCCATTGTGTTGGTCAATTGTGAGCGTAGGAAAAGCGCCAAAAATATAGCGCTCGGACTCATTTCGGGTAAGTAGAAGAAGCGAAGCACATAAAATGTGGTCGACATTAGAAATTCAATGGCCAATGTCGCGACGAGAAACTGGCGCTCCTGAAAGTAAAACGACAAACAAAGGCTTACACACAGTAAATAATAAAGACTGACGAAAAAAACTCTTTATCCATCTACTCACCCTAAATTGTGTATTCGCATTGCGACTGGCGAAAGCTAAATGCAAGCCAAAACACAATATCAACACTTCGCTAACCTGTGTCACATACTCCCATTTGAGTGGTAGACAAGTGTTCGTACGTTGCTCACGCAACGTACCCAACTGTGACACATCGATCAAATCCAGCGCGGCGGCAGTGAAGGCGGCCATATAGCAGGTGACCGCAAATACCATGGTGCCCAAGTATTTGAGCAAATCGATGTCGCGCAATACCCAGCGATGTGCTTTGCGAGTACGAAAATCGACTAAGTGACGATAGAGTTTCAATATGATGGCACCGTAGCATGTGATGAAGCCAAGTTCGCGCAACCATGGTTCAACTAGACAGCGTTCGGTGGTGGCGGGAAAGAAATGGACGGCAACCTGTTAAGGGTGAGTAGAAGAAGATGGTTTTTATAAATAGAAAGTTAAAATAAAATTTATGGTGAGTTTTTTATAAAAAAGTTTTTATAAATGTAGTTTACTCTTTCGCTGAATCTACCCTACTCTCCACCTATAACTATTTATTTCAATATATACTTCGATCCTTTATAGCCATACTATCCAACTCTCACCCCTTTTCTTTCAAACACACAATAGCTGTCAATGTATCGTACAACGACTGTCAAATCGCTGACTTCAATTTTAATGCGCTGAGTTAAGTTCGTTTATGTTTGTACGCCTTGAAGCACGAGAGACCAACTAAGTTAGCAGCCATCTTTATTTATTTATACACATCACTTGCTCTGCGCTTTGCTTTGAGTTTTTTCACGGCCAACAAAGTAAATAAATAATGACGCATGCCTTCGCCGTATGAGGCATGCCACAACACAAAATACTCATGAAATTGAAAAATTCTTTTTGAAGGTCGGTTAAAACCATTAAACAGTTGAGCGTGTAAAGAGCGACGGAGAGTTTTGCAGAGTTTGGTTTGCAATAAATGAACATAAATATAATATATATATATAATATTTTGAATTTTGGAATAATATTAAAGATAATTTAAATAGCATTACGAGAGTAGCAAAGAGCTTTATTAGCAAGTTAAATAAGGTCAGGTAAAGAGGAAGAGAGAGAGAGAGAGAGAGAGAGAGAGAGAGAGAGAGAGTGAAAGAGCAAATACAATACAAAATATAGTGACTGCGAGAGCTACGATAAGGTGAAGAAAATATTGACATCCTATGGACAAGCAAAATGTTTAGTTGACTGAGTTTAAGAGAGGCTGAGGTTCTGTTGAGAGCTCATGGTTGGTAATCGATCTATCTTCCTTTTGAAAATAAATAGAACTGCAGCGTGTTCAGAAAATAATAAGATTTTGTGTTGGATTCCAAGTCTGCCTGCCCTCTTTTGCTTATAATTTCTATCAAACAAATGTTTTTTGGCTTCGCAGAGTTGAGTTCGTCTAGAACCCAGTCTTTTAGATTTTCGCACATAATTTTAGACAAAATTTATTCTATAGTTTTGAAAACCTTTGGTATAGAACCATAAATGCGAAGAGCTGAAGAACGATATGAAAAGACTCCAAACATTAAATATCGTTCGAAAAACTGGGGTAGGAACCCAGCACTTAAAAAAAGTGATCCGCAAAAAAATACAGCAAGAGGAAGGCAAAGACTGACCGTAACGCCGTCCCATAGGTGCGACTGTTAGGAGGTTGACCAAAGAATTTAGGAAGTCCACTACAGCGCTATATAATACAGCATATATTTTACGTTGGATTTATGGTGGAAGAGAGACTCTGTCGCCGATTTCTGGCATTCGCCGCAATCCGCATCATAGCAAAGCTCTTCAGTATATCGCTGATTTGCGCCCACATTTCGACGGAAGAGAAAGACGATGTGTCCAAAATGGTCTTTAATGAGCACTTCTTAGTGACTTTAACGCCAAGGTGGGCAAAGAAGATAACTTCGGCATAACTGTCTCCACGTTTAATCTCCATAGAATCTTCCCCAAAAAGGGGTTGAAGTTGGCCCAAATATGGTTGTCGACTACATTTCAGCACAATAAAATTCATCTAATTAAATTACTGACTCTGGATCGAGCCGTGCGTGTCGGGTGGAAACGATACTAAAAGTTGAAGAGGGGAAGCAATACGCATTTGCAGGCAGAAGAAACGAAGCCGGAATGCGTTAGTAAAAGGAATTTGAAAAGCGAGCCGGCTAGAAATTTCTATGAAATATTATAGAGTAAAAGGAACCAAACAGATAATCTGGTGACCGACGTCAGAGAATTCTGAGTTTTTGAAGGGAACACTTCTATAACCTATTACCTCTAGCGATGAAGTTCGATACGCAATTGACTGGCTGAAGAACAATAAAATGGCGAAAGCCGATTACTTACCGGCGGACGGCGAAAAAAGATTTCGCGGAAGATTTAAGTACAGTTGCATAAGATATATGACAACATACGCGTAAACATTGTAAGCCAATTAATATCCAGTCGCAATACTGTCTAGATCATATCGCCCGATTGGATGGAAAAATCCAGTTTAGAACATTTTTGATACAATACCTTATAGTGGAAGCAGTGGAAGAGTAAGACTTTCATTCTTTTCGAAAGATTCGCTGGTGATGGAACTGGCTTTAAATGCGTAAGCGGTAATTGAGCAGTTTAAAAATATATTTTCTGACCGCTCTAAGCCCAAAACGAAGGAACATAGGAGAGATAAAACACTATAATAAAATCGCAATCAAACAAGACGGTCCAAGTGGCACTTAAAAGGAAGGACGAGTGAAATATTTTGAGTATTAGATGTGAAGAACATCGATGCAGTCAGAGTTGCCGGTGACAACGAAAGATGAAGGGGAGATCGCTGTATAAAAGATAGAGAAGGAATGACTTTTGCGTAGCTTGGGAAGAACTGCGAACGGGAATTTAAAGCAAAAATTATATCAAATACCCTGACAGTTTTCTCTGTAAAATCGGATTAAAAAAAGGGCAAACATCTACTATTTTTGTAACTTACCGATGCATAAAGTAATATGATTCCTGATAAAATTGTCTCCAGTACGGTCCACATGCCTGAAGCAATAGCCTGTAAATAGAGTAAAAAATGTCTGAATTATGAACTTCAGTGATAACTGGCTGATCATATCCCGAAAATATCGGCCATAGAAAAAGATTTAGAAAAAGATTTTAAGCTTTTAAAAGCTTTTGAATTTTAAAAATGTATATCCCATCTTAAGACTTTCCGCCTAGATCCCGGGAACTCAAGTCCACTTTTGCCGAGCTATTTTTTTTACTCACCTTACACTTTCTCTGCCGAAACACTATCACGCTCAGCACCACACAGCAGAGTATACAAGCGCCCAGCACGGAGCCTACAGACACATTTAATAGACTCTCCATTGACATCACCTCGCTTGGTTCACCCAACAAGCAAACGCCGTGTTGATCACACGAGGTACAGCCATCGGGACAGGGTATGCAAGAATAATTGCCATAACCATCAGATGCTTCAACAATATCGCCGCGAAAACCTTGCAGCGTTGAGTTGGGTAAATAAAAGGACTCACGACAGATGCACGTGTAGACATCGCGTGTTGCCGCGGGTTTATTTTCAGTTAACAAACAAAATGTAGTGTTGCGATCGCAGCTGTATGGAAAGAGGTGAAAATATTAAAGAAGAAATAATAATAAAGTACCGTTAAATGCTAGTAGTTATACCCATGCTTTCGGCCGAAAACCTCCTCCAGTCCATCATTACATACATCTTCATCAGCAGCTATAAATGCAGCAGCACCGATTCTGAAAATCAAAAATTAAATGTATAAGAAAATGTCAATCCTCTAGGGCACGTCACTACTATGCTTCGGACCGTGTATTGATAACTGTAAATAATAAAAACTTCATGAAATTTCTGCCAGCGAACTCACTTAATTTTATTTTCAGTAAATGTAATACGAAACGGCCACAACCAACGTCCTTTCAAGACACTGCAATCCCTGAACGGTGCACCCCATTCTTGTGTGCCCTCGGTGCTATTCCACGCTACACTCAATTCACGCCAATAGGAACCAAGAAACGCTTTACTGTGTACCTGATCCGGTGGTATCTGTGATAGAATCAAAATGAAAAAATGATTGGAGTGAGATGAAATACGAGTACATATAAGTGCAGTATGCCCACTTACCGTTACATCATCCCTGAACTTGACCACAACCGTTTGTATGCTAGGCGCTGCAATTGCAAAAGCCAACAGATTCTCATCTTCATTTAGTGCATAGCTGGCAATACTATTGGCACGACGTTGCAACTCTTCGCGTATGTCCGCGGTGATTGCTTGCTGTGTTGGTGGACCGGAGCTGCCAAATTTATTCGTAATAAATTCAGTGAATTGGCGTGCCGCATCTTCGGCAATGTCGGAGAAATCGAAGAACTGCAAAAAAATGAGAAGGAGTGGGGAAAATGTTTAAATATATTTACGACACTTACGCACATACATATACAATAATACGACTGGTACATGAGATTGAATACACGTAAATTGATTGAAAAATATATTTGTATATTAAAGCCAGCCCGCTCATTTTATCTCCTACCTATGCTCTAAATATGTAAGGTCTCTCAATGATATGAAGCAAAGCTCAGCAGCCTCAAAAGTAAGCGGTAGTGTATGCCTGCTTAGGCAGCTTTCGGCCGAGCTTTTTTATGAATATGTTCTTGGGACCTAAAGTTTTTATATGCCGCCTCCTAACTACTAATGGACTTTTCGGAGACCTTTTATTACATTTTCTTACGAGTGGAGGCCCTAATTGAAATTTTTTTCTGTTGATTTAATTAGAAATAGAATTCACTACCTCGCATGGTAACTCACACCCTTAAGTACCCAATCGAAGTGCAAGCCGTTCAATCATTTTCTTCTTACTAACGCGTTAGTAGAAAATCTCTTCTCAAGACCGTCTATTATTCAGTTCATATAGCGCCACTAGACCAACTTTAAGTGACGAAATCGCAGGTCTCTACCCCAGATCTTTAATGTGTTAAACACTTTGATACAAAATCCTTGGTCGGTAGAATTGTTGGTATTACTATTCATCGCCATAACTTCTTACATTCGAAATGCTTATAGTAGATAGCCTATGCAGTTGTGGTATCTGGTGGATTCAGAGTGTGATATGATGGGGAGCTGTATCCCTATTTCTTTCGAGCTCACAGCTATGTTGGTAATATGATTTATAAACTAATTTTTGCTGCATGCTTACTAGAGGGTTATTAATCAGTTTTTGTGGTTATAGGTCTATATATCCTTTGCCTATATGATACATAATCGCCGTATTGAACAAGTTACTCACTTCATTGATTTAGATGTCACAAAGGACCTTAAGCTAGATTTTAGAAATCATATAAATGCTTGTGCTCATAACGCAAAAAGAGTTTTAGCTTTCAATAAACGTTGAGCTAAGGAATTCAAGGACCCATACATTACGCAATTACTCTTTACCTCACTTCCTAGGCCCATTTTGGAATATGCCTCAGTTGTATGAAGTCCGTACTATCAATTGTGTAGTGACAAATTAGAATCTGTACAAAAGCAATTCCTATTATTCGCATTAAGAAATTTAAACTGGGATGCGACCAAGAACCTGCCTTCTTACAAAAGTCGTTTACGGCTCGTTCATCTGCCTACACTCCATAGTCGTAGCAAGATGCTTGGAGTTTTAGCCCTTTCCTAATGAGCAATCTTAACTTTACCATCCCGTTAAGATTATCTAGGCACTTTAGTCCCCTTTCATTGGGCTCTCGCAGAACAAACTTTGAAATGCACGACCCGTTTAGATCTTTGTGTAACGATTTTAATACACATTTCCCTCTCCTTTTCTCCATGCAATTTTATAGCAGCTGATGAACAAATCTGTAGCTGTTTAGTGTAAGAGGCAAGTGTAATCGTGACCATCCGCGATCGGTTTCGGGTTCAGGGCAGTCCGGAATGTTACTGGTTTTCGGTCACCGGTCTGTTGGATTTTTCGATATCCCTCAGACGCGCCCCTCGGTCGGTGGGGGGAGATGGGTAACGCTGGGCTCGTCGTAAAAAAATATATATATATAATTTTCCTCGACGTATATAATAAATAATTTGACTTATCCTGTCATACTTGCGTCAAAATATGCATAGATATCGTACAGTTGGTGAGTTTCCATTTTCTCTAAGCTATTCCTCCTGACAGTTTCTACAAGACTTGGTTTCAACGTCGCTTTAGATTTCTCAAGAGGTTCTTCTGTCTTCGAAAACTCAACAGATTATTAATTGTTCTCAGCCAAGGAAGGTTGAAAAGGGGGTCCCCATGAATTTATGTCTTAATTTGAAATTACAATACATTTTTTGAAAATTTTTATTTGGCTCATTTCCGGCATAACCGTTGCCGATAAGTCTTGAAATATAATTGTTCGATTTAATGTTTCAGCAATACTCTAGTATTAAAGGAGTCAACCAGTTTTAGAAATACGATTGACCATATTTAGGGTACTACGTCTCAACCTATTCATCCGCGAGAAATTTTAAAAATTCATTAGTTTCTGAGACACACTTTTAAGACTTCTAGGAATAGCTGTATAAGCTCCTGAATGCCTGAATCAGCGCGTAATAATCCGTGTGATAACTACAATATCTGCTTGAGGAAGATAACAAAAGTAAATATGATATAAATTAAAGTAATTTTTTTTCTTTTTTATTAATTGGTATTGTTAATCTAAGCTCAATTAGTTTATTTAAACTACGATTAAGGAAAGTCGGCTAAAGAATTAGCGGAAATGATTTCCATCAAGCATAGAACGATTTGTAATATTATTAAACGTGCAGAAAAAGTTAGAGATAAAGCACTCTGGAGGTAGACCACTGAAACTTTCTAGACGCGATCATTCAAAAATTTTAAAGCAGATCAGTAATAAACCTCAAACTATCCTGAGAAAATTGGTGATAGATATTAAAAATGATTGCCATAAAACAGAAAGTGACGAGACAGTCCGAAAAGTACTCCTCGCAAATAGCTGGAAAGAAACCAAAAATAATGTTATACTATCATGATGGACCCAGTAAAGTTTGGAGAAAACCCAACACAGTTTTACAACAGAAATGGACATTCTAAAGAACTAATTGTCTAGAAGAGAGATATGATTTGGATTTGTTGACCATGAAAACCCTAACAAATTAAGGTACAAACTGTCTGAGTCCTAACTATAACCTTATAGAAAATGTATGGGCTTTTTTAAAGAGGCGAGTGGGCAAACGCTCTTATAAGATCAGTACAAGGACTGCCATAATTTTCCGAGTTTTAATTATATTTGCAATAATTGTTTACAAAATGCAAATAATTAATTGACACCATAATATTTGCTGTCTTTTGAATTTTTATATTTCAATCCTGAATTCTGGAATTTGTGTGCAATATTTATGTTAACTTTAATGTGTACTAAAGTCCTACCAGAAATGGCTGCTGTAGGTCCAGAAACAGATCTACCTGCCTACCTTACCTACTATTTTTGACCGATCTATGGCCTAAGCTAAGTACCCAATTTTCGGTTCTAGTCGATTCTAGCCTTGTGCTCTTGATATTTATCATTAAAATTATTTTTTATAATTTTTCGCTGTGGGAGAAAAAAACTTTAAGCAAACGAAAAACGCTCAAAAAGCAATGCAAGTAATTGAAAACCCACAAAAATTTAAACAGAATATCAAAGAAAGTTTCATTGAAAAACCTTTATAAAATCTAACATGGAAATGATTCATCAAAACTTTTGTAGAAAAGAATAAAGAATGAGTTGCAAAACCTTATGTTAACATTTAAAGTATTTTCATTTACTTGCTGACTTTTACTTGTTAGCTATACATACGTGAATATATGTATATATATCTGTAGTTATATTTTCGTTAATATTGTTTGGACATTTACCGAAAAGAAAAAATATTTTTCTAAAAATAGCATCTGATTCAATTTGGCCTCTTTGCAACTTGGTGTGTGGCACGTGGGTGCCTCCTTTCTGTGAGGTATGTCTGTGCATATCAAGTGGCTGCCATCTGGTAGCCACAACAAAACAAAAAAAAAAAAAAAAAAAAAAACATACACAAAGTTTAATGTTAATTTAACACGAGACCAAACCATGGCACTGTCACATACACACATGCACACACACTCACACAAACAAAACTCTACTTTTATAAATTTAATGCTGGAAAAAAGTATAGTTTATGCAACAAAACTGCCGTGAACGCAGCAAATGGACCTCAATTGGGAAATATATTGCGTATATGTATCTGTATCTGTGTATAAATGACAAAACAAAATATTATCATGTGAGAGCTTGCATTATATACATATACACTTATATTGTACATACAGTACTTGCCATATGGTGAGCGTGTGCCTTTGGGCATTTTTTCAAAAAATTTCAACGTACTTGTGTACAATATACATGCTTGTATATGTATATACATATATATGTACGTGTATGCACTTTGAAAGCTTGATAATTCACTTATTCAAATAAATTGTTAACCATTCAATGGATATTACCTTTTTATTGTAAAATTATAACTTTCCATTTTTTACGGAGAACATGCAATTTGGATTTATTTATATAAGAATTAGGGAGGTCCATTATTTCTTAAGTATTTTGTAAAAATATTGCGCAAAATAAGTTTAAATAAGCAAACTAAGCTAGTCGGAAATGATTTAAAAAAAAATTTAAAAAAATGTTTCGCCTCAGTTCAACAAGTGCATATACATATGTAGCCCAACAAAATTAAATCGGTAAAAAAATGCAAGTCTTATTTGGATTAATTTTGAAAGAAACGACTTTTGCTGTATAAAATCAGTACAGTTCTTTATAATCATTTTCTATTAAAAAATACATAATAATACATGTAAAACAGTAAAAAACAAAAATAGTGAAAATGAATATACACCTTTACATGAGAAATATATTACAAAAAAGACTTAATAGCCTAAACAAAACACACCCTATCGCACATCCCTCACTTTTGTTCACAAAGTTGTCAAACAATATAAAACACACCATAACATTTAAGCCATATGCATGTGTGTGTATGTTACTTCAACAATGAATGACTTACTATTTACAAGGAACGGGGCCATTTTTGGACCTTTTGTACAATATTTTGTTTGCTAACATAAGTTAAAAGGCAACTAAAAATATATAATATAAGTGTATAGAAGCAAAAAATTGAGTATATTGTATAGGGAACGACATGGCGTATGATGAACATTTAAAATATGCTTATAAATGCTGAGGTCACTGCTGACTTGTTTTTACGATCATACGACAGTTTTGATCAAATTATTAGAATAACCAATAATTAAGCAACCATTTCGCATGACAATGCCCAAAACTAATTGGCGTAAGCACAAAGAATACCTGAAA